GATATATAGCGACCCATTAGCGGTAGCTATACGAATAGAAACCGCAAACCCGTTTCTGATCGTATCGGCCTATGGTCCACCTTCCCAAGAATTGGATGGACTCCTCACCACACTCCAAAAATTAATTATGGAGAGCGACCTGACAGCAATCATATGTGGGGACTTTAATGCAAAGCATCCTATATGGAGCCCCTCACACGCAGATCCCAGAGGCATAAAGGTTTGCGAATTTCTCGCAGCCACGGGATGCACAGTAATAAATGACGATAAGACCATCCCAACATTCGCAGGAGCGAGAGGCAACTCCTGGGTTGACCTCACCTTGCATAAGCAAAGAAATGAAAATTTCCAAATCTCGAACTGGAGAATAGACGACAGCGAGAACGGAAGCGACCACAACAATATCCTCTTTGAGGTATGTATCGGTCCTCAGGATATCAAAAAGAGCCTAAGAATACACGTAGAGCGCACAGACTGGCTAGAATTCAGACAAAAGATTTTCCAAAGTTATCAACCAAATAAGATAACATGTAACGCAGACATAGACAAGCACATCGCTCAAGCCACGAAATTGTTGCAAGATACATATGAACGAACAAGAAAGGGCAAGATACACCCCATGGTGGACGGAAGATATTCACCAACTAAGAAAACTAGTCAGAGCGCTAAGAAAACGATTCCAAAGAGCGCCTAGCGAAGACAGAGCCTACTATAGGCAGAAATATAAAATATACGCGGCGCGGTACAAAAAACTAATCTACCGCACAAAAAGACAATACTGGGACGATTTCTGGGAACAAATAACGATGAATACGCCGTTTGGCACATTTTTCGAAATTGCTAGAGGCAAGAGAACAGGTCCCCTCAAAATAAGCCGAATAGAACGAGAAGATGGCTCCTTCACAACCAATCTGGAAGAAGCAATTACGGAAATAATTTCCTATCACTTCCCGCAGGACGATTTAACAGAAGACAATGAGACTCACAAAGCGATAAGACAGGATTCAATAATCCCGCCAGAAACAGATGACGACCTCCCCTTCTCGATAGCCGAAATCAGAGCCACTATGGCAGCGGTCAAGAAAAAGAAAGCCCCAGGTTTAGATAATTTAACCATAGGTGCAGTAGAAGAACTACGCCTAGCAAATGAAGTAGGCTTCCAAGACCTATTAAATAACTGCCTTCACAGAGGATACTTCCCGACCGAATGGAAGAACGCAGAACTCGTGCTCTTCCCCAAAGAAGGGAAGGATAAGACGAAAACCAACGCTTACAGGCCGATATGCCTACTCTCTGCCTGGGGCAAAGTCCTAGACAAGCTAATTACGCAACGGCTCACCTACCATCTCGAGCACAATAAACTACTAAATGAAAATCAATTCGGGTTCAGACAAGGCCGAAGCACGGTGGACGCAGTCGACCAATTGCAGAAGACAATACTTAGAAACAAAGAGAACAACCTACACACCTGCGTCATCTCGCTGGATGTTGCTTCGGCATTCAACCAGCTATGGTGGCCGGGGTTGAAGACCAGACTAAAAGAATTAAGATGCCCGCAAAATCAAATCTCTACCGAATTATTATAGACAACTACCTATCGAATAGACACGTCACCTATATCAGAGACGGGGTCAATATAAGAAAGAGATTACCAGAAAGGAGCACCGCAAGGATCAAACATAGGTCCGGTCCTCTGGAATATAATGGCAGACACCGCCCTTCAAATAGACTTTGAGGGCACTGCAAGCATCCAAGCCTACGCTGATGATTTTATACTAATCATCGCCGGAAGCAATAGAACAATAATAGAAAGAAATGCAGCTATGGCCCTTACCAAGCTAACCAACTGGAGCGAAAAATACAAATTAAAATTCAGTATCCCTAAAACCCAAATGATTGTATTTCCCAAGGGCTCAAAGATTGACTCTAACCCACCACGAATCAAATGGAATGGAGTTCCCCTACGAAGACAAGATACGATGAAGTATCTAGGCTTTGTCCTAGATAAGAAACTTACGTGGGTCCCCCACCTAACAGCAGTAAGAGACAACACGAATAAAATAATGAATAGCCTCAATAGAATGATGAGTGTGAAATGGCAACTCAAAGGAAGATTACTTAAAGACCTTTATCTACGAGCAGTAGAACGCATGATTTTATATGGAAGCCCAGTCTGGATGACGAACACCGTCCGTGTCCAGACCAAGCTGGCACAGATCCAACGAATCGCCTTGCTTAAAATAACAGCGGCATTTACCACAACCTCGACAGCGGCATTACAAGTCTTGGCAGGAGTCCTGCCATTAGATCTCAAAGCCCAGAAAGAAAAGCTCCAATACAGACTCCAACACTACCAGGAAGACGCGTCATTGGATGGTACCACAATAGTACAATCTCAGACTATAGAAAGATATAGAACATGAGGCCACAAAGCACCCAGCAGAAATAAGAAACATAATCTGGCGAAAAGAGCAACCGGATGGCTCGCACTTAGAAATATTCACAGATGGCTCAGGCATCAATAACCAAATAGGAGCGGCCTTCGCTGCCTTCCTCGACAATAAGATCATCCACACAGAGTGCTATAGACTCCCAGACACAGCTACAGTCTTTCAAGCTGAGTCATACGCCTTGCGACAAGCGGCACTATGGGCAGGAAATCAGCCATCAACTCTTCAAATTAAATTCTATACGGACAGCATGAGTGCTCTCCAAGCACTAAACAAAAGAGGCAAAGTGGCGGAGCACATAGCCTCCCTGAAAGAAGTACTACATACCCTAAATTCCGATCACGTAATAAACATCAACTGGGTCCGCGGTCATACAGGACTTAGAGGAAATGAGACAGCTGATACTCTTGCTAAAGAGGCAGCAAATCGATTGGAAGTAGACTCTAGCATTCCGATCTCTATCATAACAGCGAAAAAGCTGATTGACAACTACCTCCTCACGGTCTGGCAAGAACGCTGGGAAGAAGAAGACAAAGGACGGCACACTTTCCAATTCTTTGACAAAGTCAGCTACAAGAGATTAAGATCTGATCACCATCTATCCCAGGCACTGACCAACCACGGGAAATTCCCAGCTTACTATCGAAGGTTCTTGAATCGTCAAGCCAAATGCGCCTGCGGCACCCCAGGACATCAAGCGGACGCGTTTCATTACATCTTCGACTGCCAGCTGTTAGACGATCTCGAGAGCAAGACACTTTCCTAACAACGTCAGGGACATTCCTTTGTCCACCCTAGTCAACGACTACTACCTGGTCAAAGGCATCACCAAGATCATGACGGAAGTAAATTCAAGACCTGACATCATCATCGAGGACTAGATGAGTCAGCTCCTCAAACCTGCTCCAGACATGTGACCTTCAATCAAATGTATATATTCTAATTCTTATTGTAATATTTAAAAGTCAACAACAGATATAGTTGATAGCTTTTATTCTTTAATTAATCTAGATGTAGTAATGTAAATGTGTTTTGTTAAATGTTTTGTATATAATAAAGGACAGTATGTCCACTCAAAGCAGTAACAGGCGGCCTAACCGCCTTGATTACTAGCGCAACGATCGGAATGATTTCAAGCCCGGTAGTGCCTTATCTTAATGGCGGAGCCGGTTAGTGTCCCAAACACTTAACTCGACTTGGCCCGGAAACTTTACGTCGGTTATGAAATAGAGACATAAACTTTCTCTAATTTTTGCATATAAGGTTAGATTTTTCCTAGGTATACTTTTTCCATGGTCTGCGGCTACGTACGAAACCCTTGAATAACTTGGAACAATGCAGAAACGTCGTATATGTTTGATCTTGTAATTAGGTAAGTAGTTTCAATTCAATTTTATTAGTACATTTAGGCTAATCTGCTTGCTCCGAGCAGCTAATTCACTACAGTATATGTGTAACACAATCATCTGGATACAAACACAGGACATGTTGTCTTGGATAACTACGATCCAGAAAATATCTAGGAAAGATCCAGATCCTGAATCTCTGTGAAGCAGAGATATAGCCGTATACTTTGATAATTCTTTATTAAGAACTTAAGGAATTGTAAGAATTTTTGTGTACCGCTAAACTGACAGAAGTTGCTCTGATGCAGTTGTTTTGGTTACCAATGAAATATTTATCTTATGAAATCTATCTTGTGAAATACTTATCTTATGAAATACTTATCTTATGAAATCCACTCTGAGTCAGATAATCATAAGTGTTGTGTTGTAATTTATCTCACTTGTCTGATGGTAACATTACAGCAAGGCCACAAATTCATCGTGGAACGAGAGCAATATTGCGCCTGTCTTTGGCAAGAGACTTCGGCACCATGCAGGTCACAGTACGACTTCCAATTTTTATGGAGGAGCACACCTGGGGAAGGGAGTCCGAGGGTCACCCACCCACTATTCGCCTACCCCCAACCTTTCGAGAAAACTTTTGGATCGCCGTGTATTTAGAGTGCCCTCATGATGCAAAGGCGCTGTGCATTTACACATATCCATGCCTTCTCCGGGATTCGAACCCATGCCTTTCGGTATCGCAGTAGGCTCACCTAACCATAATACCGTCTAGGGCATCATCTTAAAATAGAATTTCAGACCTTAGCACAAGTTGTTTCATGAGAAAAGAACGCAAAGCTTGATTATTCAGTGAAATAAATGCCATCTTAACTATGGCGAATATATTTGAGTATACTGATATTATAGAGAATTTGTGCAGCTCTACACTTATTCAAAAAAGAATCTTGCGTGGAAAGCAAAGAGACAAAAATTGTTTTCATAAGTAAATAACAAATGAAATTACATCAAAATAATTCTTACATCCAAATAATTTATTTTTCTTACCTCCAAATTAAAATTTTTACATCTAAATTTAAAATTCTTACATCTAAATTAAAATTCTTATATTAAAAAAAATTATTTTACTGTCAGGGTCAGTAAAATAAATTATTTGGATCTAGGAGAGGGGTTTAAATATCAAGTAATTCTGATAAATTCTTACCTACGCACGAAGCAAGCTATTTCAGAACCAAGGGGTAGGGAAGCAAGATAATTTGAGCAAACACCATAATGGAGCGCACTGCCTGAAAAAAAAATAATGACGACAATACACTTCGCTTTCCATGTGATGATAAATTTAAGTACTATGAATGTTAAGATGATAATAAGATGCATAAATAATGTCATAATGATAATAAGTATCATAACTAGCTGCTAGCTCTGCCAGCCCCCCAAAAAGAGTTACCATAAAAAGCAAAAAAAAAAAAAAAAAAAAAAAAAAATGTATATACGAGGCTTGGGGCAAAAGTCATGGCAACTATTTTTTCTTGTAGATATGTGAACGGATCACAAAACATATATGTGTCATGTGGAAGTTCTGCAGGCATAGTGTGTATGCAGAACAACAGATGGTTCTGTGATAGCTGGCTGTGTGGTAGCGATGGCTCTGAAATCAGTCAGTTGGTGAGTGTCGTGCGAGATGGAAATAATCAGTGTTGAGCAGCGCGCTTACATCAAAATAGCCGTTCTTCGAGGGAGAAATGCGATGGAATGTCACAGTGAATTAGTAGAAGCCCTTGGGAATAATGTCCTACCATATCGTACAGTAGCATGGTGGGTAAGAAAGTTTCAGCAAGAACGTGTGTCAACCAGAAATGAGCAACGTTCGGGACGACCGGTGAGTGTGCCGTCATCGAGCACCTCATGGATGAAGACAGACGATGGTCGTTACTGGAGTTAGAGAGGGCAAGTGGCATTGAGAAACGCACCGTCCACAGGATATTGCGTAATGAGTTACAGCTACGCAAAATCGCTTTGCGGTGAGTACCGCATGCACTGACGGAAATTCAAGGGTGGGTGCGCTATACAATATGCTTCGACCACTTTGCACGCTAGCGACAGAACGGCGATCAATTCTTTTCACGAATAATCGCCATCGATGAATTTTGGGCCAGGGCATACAAACCAGAACTGAAATGTCAGTCCGCCGAGTGGCGACATGCTAATGCTGATGCACCAAGGCAGCAGAAGGTCCGTCAGAATCCTTTCCCAGTCACATTGATGGTGATCGTCACGTACGACGTCAGGGGTGTCATTGTTTGCCGCTTTGTTGCTCATGGCAGAGCAGTGACCGCACGGTACTACAGGGACTCATGTCAACTTTATGTGTATTGTGTTATCATTCTTTTGCACGGTGAAGGCCATATTGCCCTATATACTACCGTAATAAATTCGTGTGTTACGATATTTCAGTGCTATTCATTGTCCACACATGTAGTTAAGACCTTGTCTTTCATCTATATATGTCACATTTCCCAACCGGACTGGTATCTTCAAGAAAAAAAATAGTTGTCATGACTTTTGCCCCAACCTACGTATAATATGTATAATGACTGTAACTAGTCCAGCTGGTGTAATTAAAAAATATGTAACATTTCTAATTACACATACGATGATTTAAATGCATTTTTATTTAAATCAATCAGGTTAAAAAGCAGAAAATAATATTCTGAGAACTGCGTTTTTTGCTTTTAAATCGCTTGGTTTCTTAGTGAGTATCAGATAGATTAAAAATTGAATATCACACACTTTAAAGAAGGGAAACAGACTGCTGCTGGCTTCTCGTTCGGCTTTTGCATTTCTGCAGCTGAAGAAGAAGGCTCCATGTATTAACTTTCGAAACTACTCCTGAAAATTTATGAATATTATTCTGATTCTTGTCACTTTAAATCCTCCAATACTCGTTATTCGGCTTGTTATTTTAATTCAAGTTTTCTATAAATATTCTGTGAAAATTTTATTTCCTTATCATATTCCCTAATTATTTCATTTACGTTGGGAGATCACAACTATTCAATGAATCTTCCTAGTAGACTTTCCTAATAGTTGTCATTGAAGTTACTTTCATAGATCCAAGGCTATCCTTGGATCTACGAGAGATATCCTTGAAGCTTCGTCTGCCCAATCCTCTCCAACGAATAAAACCAAATGTAGGAGCAAAATTAAAATTGTTTGATAAAAGAAGTTTGTTTTGTAAAGTAAAATATCTGATCTGGATCTAAAGGCAAAAAAACCCTTAACCGAAACATAAGAACAACATAATTCAATCACTTTTAAAGCAAAAAAGGAACAATTTACCAATTTCGAAGAATAATTCGGGCGGACCTAATGGTCTTTCATCCCTTTTGTCTACTACTAAAGTTTACAGAACTTGAAATAACTTTCGGCTTGCTGCTATGTCTATCCAAGAATGCAAAATTAATAAATCGGTTCCCAGAAATACATTTCCCCAACCCAAAGCTCAGCCAGAGAGAACTACCCAGAACTTTACTTTTGTGAATGCTGCTTATGATGCTTAGGTCTTACCATTTAAGTGATATTAAGAACGCATTCTCAGAAAGTAACGAATGGATTGACAATGACACAAATATTACGAGTGATTGTCTACAGTTTCTGTGCCGAAACCATTGTATCTTATCTGCAGACCTTCTTTGGAGTATTAGAACTTATCATTGGAGCCCAGTCTAGCACCCTGGGTGGGGGAGATGGTCCCCTACTGACGCTGCGTTTGGCAGTCAAAGGAAAAGGCAGAATATATGGCCCACTGAGTTACATGGGTAAGTGCTCTGGAGATTGGTCCTATGGTTTAGGATCTCAGAGGAATTCTTTCAAGCGATGAGTTACTAAGCCTTTCAGTGAAGCAGAATTTTCTGAAGAAATCTTCCCTAGCCCCAAGACTGCTGAAATCCCAGTGCAGAAAAATCCCAGCCAAGCTACCTACAGTGAGAAGCTAAAAGGCAAAATTACTCCACCTCCTAAAGACCTTAACGACGCAATGAAATGGCTTCAGGATGAAAAAAAAAAAAAAACTCGTTTTTAATGGCCATAATCTCATGCATTGACAAAATCAAATCAGCTAAGAATTCTGCAGAGAAATTAAAAACAGGTTTTCAAGCGGCTATTTTGCTTATCAACTTTGCGGAATCCGAAGAATAGGAATGAAGTAGCAGTCCCCTTATAATGGACCAATAGCCAGACAGTAAATTTCATTTCTCCATTCCACGTCTTAGGCAGTCAAACTTCCTCTCGGAATGTCTTATACGCAAGGCTCGTATTTAACATCATGTGAGAATTCTCTGCCAACACAGTGTACGTTATGGTAGGAATGTCACGTCACTTCTCCATGAGTAGTTATACGCAGGATGAAACTTTTAGCCTAGGCGCCTATTTTTCCATGTGCTTCGCACCTGAGCCTTCAGTGAAGCCCGTATTTTTTTAAGGATATTATCTTTAGTTTCATTTTTATTTTTTTAAAATTATTTATTATTCATTTATTTTTCATTTATTATTATTTTTCATTTAAAAACGAGGCATTTCAGTTAGCAGTAAAGATGCCAATATTTCAAAATCCTGCAAGTATTTTTAATAGCAATGAATATACTGATAATCAGAGAATTAGTTGGCAATGAATCTTGTTAAGTGGAGATTGCATTTTATCACTTAAAACCATAACATAAAATCCGCTGACAGATGGAAATCAAAAATACGATTCCTTATTCTCATTATCCTTCTTTTCCTGCGAACTAATCAAAAGAAAAATTACTCACTTTGCGTTTTGTAAATGACTACAGCCACAGTAAGATGGATATGCCCAGGATGGAAATCAGGTGCTGAACTAATGCTGTAGAACCGTGGCTGCAGAGGAGTCAGGTGCGTTAGGAGGAAGCCAGGAGTTGGAATAACGGAGGGAAAATTCTCCAAGACTTCGAGAAGGTTCGGGTACGTCTGCGATTTCCAGTCTTCGTAACGGACGGAATCCTGTTTACGAGAATTAGATAGAAAATTATTATGTGCGAATGGCAATGTCTGTATGATCGATCACTTTTCAAACCTACAAGGGAGAAATTTTGAATTCTATTACGTTAGCAGCAGTTAGAAAATTTTAATGATTTGTATTTGATACCGAAAATCTACTTCATCGTATTTAATACAAATGTAAGTAATATCAAAGTCAAATTTGAATTTACACAACTCGAATAAAAAATACGTCTTCGTGTAGTCATAAAATATTTTGTGTATATAAAAATAAGATCTTACAATGATGTGAATCTCTTTGCAGCGATGGATGACATTAAATATGCCATTCACGGAAAGTATCCTGAAGCATTTCTTTCGGGTGCTTGTACATTAGTTGGTACATGCCATCAGATTGGAAAAAAAGCCCGTTTCTGACTATGATTTCGCAATCATTCCAGTAGTCTGAGAAGCTGTTTTAGACTCTTCCAGAAAGATGATACTTTTTATTTCTCGAAATGGGATATGCGTTGAATCGTTATAAATGCGTCGATTCAATTTTAATTCGAGTTTATTGCCATTCGGCGAAATGTAAGGTATTTCTCTTGCAAATTGAATCCGTCTATTGTGGCACAATAAACTAAGCTATTTGAAAGAAACAGATTAAGAATATTCATTTCTTAAGAATTCATGGAAGGATAAACATTCTTTTCTCACCTAAGAGGGGACTCGAATTGTCCTGGTATGCTTCTGACAAGAGCTATTGATGGAAGAACTCTAAAGAAGCTATCGCTCCTTTTTGACAAATCAGCGTTCTGTCGCTCAGTAAAGTAAAAAAGTTCTTTGCATCAGTTTGCAAGCGAATAGCACATCCCTGGTCTGCATTAGCTTATTTATGTAACCCTTTTCAATAGGAAAGCTTTCTGGACAGCGTTTCCATCTCATGTTGAATTTTATTGCATTTTGCATCATTCATTTACAAGACTTGCCAAGAAATGAAGGAAAATCAAATATTATTTCCATGCCTGTATATGATATCTTATTGAGAAATGCAAGAGTTCCAGTTCTCAAGTAATGGAACTCCTGCATAAATGACGGAAGATATAGGATGGACATGCAGTGTCAATAACAATAGGCAAAAAAATGTTAGAATAAGTGAAGTAGTTCGAGTAGGATCATTTGCATTTTAATTTAGCAGATTTCAGATGAAGGAGAAAACGGCTGCTGAGAATAACGATCGGTTTGAAGGAAATTTGAATGTGATTACCAAGCAGTAGCTATCAATAATAATAATAAAAATAATACGTGCCCGTTTCATTGATGGCCATCGAAAATAAATTTCAATGTCAAAAGGTATCAGCAGATTCTTGGAAATGATGAAAGCAATACACAAACAGGCCTTTTTTATTTATTTGTTTATTTGTTTCTGGAATTCGCTGCTTAAGTGGTCAAAGTACTACGATCATTCAGGTCAATAGAAAAAGGCAAATGTTTCAGAGGGAAATTTTTAGGAATCCCTTAGGGAAATTTATAAGGCTGACAGAGTTTTGTACAAAGTCCTATATAAAACTTTAATGATAATTTGTATAGAAATGTTTCTCTATAAAATTTTCTAAAATGTTTTTACAAGGCAGAAATAGAAATATTGCTTTGCAAACACATGTAAAAAATTTATGAAGCCTTTGAAAATTGGTACTCTATAAAAAGCTACAAATCAAAGCAATTTTTCACTTTCTGGTGCATTATATGGAATTCAGAAGAATGAAAATAAACACTTTTTGTTCATGAGTGTTGAATAATTTTTTTGAATGTAAATTTTTGTAAATTTTTGCCTTTTTCTCCCTTAGCGTAATGCTATTTAGCTTCTAAATTTATGTAATATTTTGTGAAATCTTTCGTACGGTATTGCTCACATAGTGCGAAAGTTAAATCTTTAACACGTAAACAATAAATTTAAATCCTAAAATTAATCAAAAGAAATTTAGGCCTTTAATTATAAAATTTTAATTCTTCAAATTGGTGCTTTTATTAGTGCGTAAGTATTACTGATAGGAGAGATTGTTTCGTAATTTTAATTAAACTTACTTATTATTTAACATGTATTTAATTTTATTTAAATATTTTTCAAGTCAAAACGATATTAACATTTTTTTATTAAAAAACCACATCTGTTCCTCAATTTTTTTATTTCTCCCCTCCATGTCATACATCATTTAAAAATTTAGGCTAAAATTACCATTCAAAAATGAAAATTTGATTCATTCTTTTCTATACGAAAGGAAAACTTTGTAAATTTTAAAATACTTTTAAATATTTAAAAGCTTCTATAGGATCTTTTATTGAAAATTGAAGAAGGAAACGTGTTTAGAATTCTTTAGAATTATCGCTCAGTTTTCTATGGATTTCATATTTTTTATCCAATTCTATACACACTATACTAGATTCCATACTGGGATCTTAGAAACGTTACACAAATTTTTATAGAATATCTACGTATATTTATATAAAATCTCTCCAGAAATATCTGTATATCTAAAATTTTGTAGAATTCTATTTTTCTTCATCTAAAATTTTATAGCTTTCTAGTTGTTTATGTCTAAAGTTTTATATATAATTCTGAATTCTGTATTTGTAAAATTTTATTTAATTCTAATTTATTATACCCAAAATTTTATAGAATTCTAATTCTGTATATCTAAAATTCTTATAGAATTCTAATTCTCTGTCTGTAAAATCTCATAGAATTCTAATTCCCTACATGTAAAATTTTAAAGAATTCTAATTCTGGATATCTAAAATTTTATAGAATTCTAATTCTCTACATGTAAAATTTTATAGAGTTCTATAAAAGATATCTCACCAAGCTTATAGAAAATTCCGTCTAATTCTAAAGGATTCTAAAGAAGTTTAACATTAGATTTTTTTATCAATTTCTTAAGACATTTTTGCAAGGGTATACACAATGTTGAAATTCATTTCGTAAGAGTTACAATACTTTGGAGTTCCGCTGTTCATGGTAAGCCCCATAGAGAGAAAAAAATTAAGAATGCGATTATTTATTAGTGCACATTTACAAGTATTTACTTCAAATTTTGAATAAAATATCAACCAAAATTTTCCAAAGCTCTTTACCTAAACTTGCAGAAATTAGAAAGTAAACTCGTTATTCTCACCGTAGCTAGGAGCTGAATTTTTCGTTTGTCTCCTTCTTCTTTGGCCATAGTTGCCAATATCCTCAAAAACTGTTGACCGGGAGGTGTGGTGATATCCAAATATCTCGTTAAGGCTAATCTCATCGTCAAAGCAGGAATTCTTTCATGTGGGTACCATCGATGGCTTGGTCCTAAAAAGTAGGAAAATCTGAAGGCAAAAAGTAACTATTAAAGCACCGAACAATTAGAAGAAAGGACAATTAAATAATTCACAAACGATATCGACAGAAGAAATACACTTTTGTGCAAAATTAAAGAGATTTTGCAAATTATGTCTACTCTTATGAAAGGTATCGAACTAATATGCCGCCGAAGAAGCATACAAATATTCAGAGTCGAATACGTAAGAGTACAACTTTCGAAACGAGACAGCTTCCGTCCAGGTGCATGGCTGCGGAGCTATGATTGTAGAAGGGATATAAGCGCACGAGAGGTTTTCGGCGATTTGTGTCACCCTGTTTCTCGCAAGGGTTCATAGAATTATATAAGATATCAGTTAAAATAAGTAGCCACGAACTTATGGATGACGGAATGAGATGTAGAATTATCGGTAGATTAGAAGCTCAGTGTAACTCCCAGTGTAGTCTATAATTTGTGGAAACAGTTTCAGGACATTGGATCTATATCGAGAAGACCTGGATAAGGTCGACCAAGATCTACAACGACAAACGAAGATCGGCATTTGCCACACTGAAGGACTGCAACAGCTTCACAGCTCTCACGTGAGCTAAATGCTGCCACTAGAACCCGAGATTTGTGGTCTACAGTTGCCCGAAGGCTTCTTGAGATAGGGCTGTATACCAGAAAAGCCTTTGTTTGCGTCTCGCTTGTTGAAGCATATAAGAGGGAGCATTTAGCATGGTGCAGACAACATGCGTCTTGGACCAGACATCAGTGGAACACCGTGCTTTGAACGGATGGATCAAGTTTCAGCCTGGACACTGATTCATTGAGTACCTGTATCTGGAGAGAACCTGAAACACGATACCATCGCTCATCAGAGAAGAGGATCATTTCGGTGGTGGAGGTGTAACGGCTTGGGCTGATATTATATTGAATGACCAAACACCATACACACACACACACATACACACACATACACACACACACACACACACACACACACATACACACACACACACACAAAAAAAAGACAGAGAGAAGATCGTAGAGCCGTATGTTCGACTTTTCATGGGCGCAGTTGGTCCTTAGTTCCTTTTAATAGATAACAACGCTCGTTCCCATAGGTGTTGGCTGGTCAATGATTGCCTGGAAATTGAGGATATTCGCCACATGGATTGGCCAGTTAGATCTCCTGAGCCGTATACAGCATGTCTGCAACACTCTTGAGAGGGAAATTTGATCTTCTGATTTCCTCCCGGGAACCATCCCAGAGTTGTAAACTGCTGTTGGAGTGAATCAACTGCCACAGGCAGTCCTGGACTCTCTCCTGTTCAGTATGCCATCAATCTGCGCGACCTGTCAGGCTGTGAGAGGGGACCATATTCCATATTAGACTCATTTTTTGTTCGATATTACAAGTGGATTTTGGAAATCCCTGCGCTAAGAGCTTTAATGGAAATCATGCATATATAAAATGACTTTTGGGTACATCTTTTTCTCTGTTGTAAGTGTATATTCTTACCAAAGGTAATTAAAATATGTCCATTAGTTTTTCAGAAATTCGACATAATATGAAATTCTGTTAATTTTGGACACCAGTGCACAGAATCATTCGAAAAGCTGTTACATACTAATAATAGATTAGAAGCTACTCTATATAAATAAATTCCCACTGAAATCCTATGCATTCTTTTAATTTTCTATTGGAGATTACAGACTGTCAGATGCAGAGTCTAACTACTCGAAGCTGACTTTATGGTGTATATTCAAAATGTTCATTGTCTTCAGTGCTGAATGGCAGATGCTTATAATTATCTACTTCAAAACAATGCGAGGTAAGTGAAATTCTTCCATTACAGAGTTTTAATTATTACTGTCATTATTTGGCATAGAAAAAGAGCGGATTATTATAGGGTGAGCATATAAATATTATACTAACAGTTTAACTTGCGATATGCTGTAAAGAAAGCAACTTATACGACAAATGTTTTTGTGGTATAAGTTGAAGTTTTGTGAAAAGATTCTGATACAGTTTATGCATTCCAAAAGTCTTCTTAAAACGATGTGTAAACAAAGATATAGAACAATTAAGCGACTGATTCGAATTTCGTAATATTTAATGGAGTTTAAAAGAATGCCATAAACCAAATCTAAGTTTTGAAATTACGAAAGAAAGTTTATTTATCTGCAGTCAGTTAGGATGACAATAATATGAGGATAATAATAATAACAATAGTAACAATGAGGATGAAAAGAGCTTTTAATTTTACAGCATGATATATGATAAGAGGATATTTTTAAAGCTTAATGAACATGTATAGTTATTGAAAATTTGTGGGAGTGGTGCTATTATTGTAAAAATGCAGTTAAATTCCTTAGAACTTTAGGAAGGGTGGCTGCTGATTTTTTTGAAGAAGAAAAGATTGATTCTGCCTTTCTGTTGTTATATATTCTTAAATTAGAAAGAACATCTTCAAATTGTTTTATTTTTGCTTGTGCGGACATTGCAAGACGCTTGTGCGGACATTGATATCTCATACGGACCTTGAATAACTTTCCTAAATTACATATATTTTTTGCTGTACACCATTTAAATTTACTCCCTGGAAGTACTCCAACTAACCGATCCCTCAAAGCAAGTTGAGAATGACATTAAAAACTGCAAATTTTGAAATTAAATATTCCGCTCAATTTTTGACATATGAGAATCAAACTTCTTGTATTTCTACTTTATCGTAATGTTTATAAAGTTTCCAAATAGTGTATAAGTATAGGAAACGGGAGACCGCATTAAAAGGTAGATTTCATTATTTGTCCAAAATTTTTTTTTTGAATTTGTCATAACGGGAACATGAATATTTTTCATCTAATACACTTCTGAAAGTACATGACTACAATCAAGGATTTTGAAAATCAAGCCCAGGTAAGGTGTATATATATATATATACATTTAGTGCAGCCAATTGTAATAAAAAAGAGGGTTACACAACTAGATGTTATTGAAGTCCTATATACAAAATTTCAACATTCTACGGCTGATCATTTTTCAGTTATGCGAGATAACGTACGTGTATACTTCGTCATAAAAATCGTAGTCGTCATAAAAAATCCATTTTCAATAATTTGAATCGATTTTACAATCCATTTTGGAATAAGGAGTCCTGTATTCTGTTCGTATGTCGAGACATAACGGGAAAAAATGTCAAAATGTATTCAGGATTGTTAAAAATGGGTATTTCCGTTGAAATCTGATAATTAAAATTTTTTGGGATTATAATACTTTCATTACTTCGTAAAGGAAGTAAGAAGTTTTAAAGTCGTGTAGATATCTTAAAAAATCTTTAAAAAAATTTGCTGTAAATACAGCAATGAAATTTTATGATACTTTATTTCAGTAAAATAAAGCGCGCAAGTGTACTTTAGTAGTCTTGAATTTCCATTTGTTTCTCAGAGTTAAAATTAAAACTTTAGAATAGTCAATTCAATACGTACTCAATTTTTTTTCGACGTTTTGACGTTTTCAACATTAAATAAGATGATAATTACAGACAAATATTATTGCGCATTTACAAATTTCTTTTAATTAAAATATAAAAATCATGCAAATCATATACATGATTTTGTTTATTATATTATTTTAAGTTATTGATTAGTTTTCATAACGCTGGCTCAATTCTTTCTGATTTCAGATTCACAGACTTCTCGAAGATAATTCAGAACAATCAGTGAGAAAGGAAGAATTGGCCTAACGGGTCTTACTAGAGCGTCATATCTACTGAAGAATTAGTTACTAATCATTTCAAAAAGGTTAAGTCTGTCACAATTTGTGTACTGTCAGAAGTACTTTATGATTTATTTTACTAGTAATTACCTGATTGATGTATTGCACAAAACTATAACTGTAACTAGATTTCATCTAAATGTGGAAGCCCACCAGCGGCCAAGCGGTAAAGTTGCTGAACACTGGTAATTTGGTTCGGGGTTTGAATCCCGGGGAACGGGCTGGCTGCGTGGGAGGCTTCGCGTTTTTCTCCATTTGTAACGCATATGGGAGACAGAAAGCCTCAGAAGGCATCCCTCCATTAAGGATGACAGCCCTAGTCTGCTTTGCCGTAATCAAATAAACCAAACCAACAAAAAAAAAAAAAAAAAAAAAAAAAAAAAAAAAAAACCAAAGCATCTAAATATGGAACTGCACTATTGTAAAGCTTAATTGATAAAAGTCATTGAACGACAATAGCTCGTTGCATGAATACTGAACAACTAGTTGAACCGAGGGTTTGGATCAAATCAGAATACAGAAATTAAACAGACTATTACAGAATGCTGTTGGATCGTTGGTTGATTACCTTCTAAACTTTGAACTGTTTTTCGGATTTCTAGTTGGAAAGGTTTATCTGGATCTGGACACGTAGAACCCATTCGAGCAAGGATCCCATCCACTATCTCCTTCCTGTTGGCCGGATAGATGCCAATATGATCTCCCGGATAATATTTCAAAGTAGAATTCTCCTGAGTGGATATCACGATGAAGAGTGTCTGTCGACTGTTAGGAAGAATTTCTATTTAATACAAGATATTAATTAAATCAAGTAAGAAGAAATGATACTAAACAATGGAAATACAATATTGAATAACATATCTATATTTATATATGTTTGTGAGATGGTGTGGTTTTCTTTGGGAAAATGAAACCCAGTTCACGCCTTGGTCGTAACCCATAAGACTGTTGCTTAGATGACGACTGGTGGGAAAATCACAAATGGCTTGATGATTAAAACATCGATTTTATTTTTCGCAGGAATAATTATTCAGCAATGTATTTTTGCTTAAAACTGGTACAACACTAGAGGTGCTAAATATGCCCCACAAAGTTGATACACATTGTTCCCATTTTAGAAAATGAAGAAAGAAGGTGAAGCGACAGACGTGGTTTATTTCAGCAGCAGCAAGTGAGAAAAAACAATACGTTCTCACTTCAGCCCTATTTATAGCCAGAACATCATTGTGTTAATCTTGAGCAGCGACTGGGCTACAGATGTCGCAGTGCAGAAAGATTGTAGGGAAAGAATGACGTAATATACGGCAGAGTGACGCAGCAAAGCGTAACATTTGAACCGAGGATTCCCCCCCTATTTTTACTTTATCGTTAAAAACAGCATATATTTAGAACTCGATAGAGTGTTAACTGTCGCCATACATTTTTTTTGTGTTTCTTGTATTATTTCTTTGACGATAAAACATGGCGATAACATTTAGTGGCAACATCGTTTTATTTAAAAATTAATTCAGACCCAAAATGTGATAAAGGCAAAGAAGCGAGGGTCGCTCTGGTGCTAATAAATAAACAAATATATGAATAAATAAAGCAGGATATTAACAGGAAAAGAAGAAAAAAAAGAAAGAAAAATGTCATCTTTGCAGAAGAAATTGGAACAGATTCTAAAATTACTGAATGTAATTCTAGAATTCGCAAATATTACACTCATGGATCAAAGCCAAGGGGGAATTTTTATCCATTTATCAGCAGTTAACCTAAGTACCAATTTACACACATGTCCATAAATTAAGGATAATTCGGAGTCACGCGGAAATCGAACTCTAAAATAAATGTATCACCTGTAAAATCACTACACACATCTTCAAGAATCATATGCAAATTTCAGGAAGTAATTAGATGACACCGATGGTACGTCACAATGACGAGAATGTAAGAGAGTGATATATAAGGAATACAGGTAAAGAAGTAAAATTGTTCGCAGGCGCTTTATAAGCATTTCAGTGCAATAACCGAATAGTTATGACACAAAGGACGCATTTGCATGATTTTTTATGTGGTAGAATTTAGGCCGTCTGGGAATGTGGGCGTACCCAACTGGAAGTATCAGACGAACTTGGAATTGCCCAGAGTGTCATCTCCAGGCTTTGGCAACGATTCAAAGATGATGGTAATGTGAGTAGACGTTACAGCACCTGTAGCCCCAGAGTTACAACGCCGAATGAGGACCGGTATTTGGCAGTTACTGCCAAAAGAAACAGGTTGAGCACAGCCACAGACCTGTCTCGTCAGATCTCTTCAGCCACTGGTACGACAATTTCAAGGCAGACCGTGTACAGACGCTTATGGCAAATTGGTCTATATGCTCGTAGACCTGTCAGATGCGTTCCACTTACTGCAACTCACTGTCGCCTGCGGTTAGCCAGGAGTAGGGAGCATGCATTGTGGACACCGCTACAGTGGGCTTGTGTGATGTTTTCCGACGAGTCCAGGTTTAGCTTGCAGTCTGATTCTCGCCGGATATTCATATGGAGAGCTACCACCCGTTACCACCAAGAAAACATCATTGAACGACACCGTTACGGTGGTGCAGGAGTGCTCGCTTGGGGTGAAATTATTCTGGGTTCCAGACTGACCTGCATGTTCAAATTGGAACCATGACAAGCTAAATCTCTCGAGACGTCATTCTGGAACAACATGTACGTTTGTTTCGGGGCGCCATGGGCGCATAAATTGTGTTTATGGATGACAATGCCCGTCCTCACCGTGCAAACATCGTAAGCGAATGCCTTCAATCGGAGGATATCACCCGTATGGACTGGCCAGCATTCTCACCGGACTTGAATCCAGTAGAGCACGTGTGGGAAATGCTTGGCCGATGAGTTGCAGCCCTCCTACATGTCTACAGGAACTTCGGAGAGCATTGCTTTTTGTGTGGTGTAATATCCCCCAAGATCATATCGATAATTTGATACTCAGCATGCGTAGGCGTTGTAAGGACTGTATTGCATTGTCTGGGAGACATACAATGTATTAACAATCATACCAACCATGTAATATTGGACTTTTGTAAATAGGATTTCTTTTTAATTTGCTTCAGGGAGAAAAATCGCTATTCTTTTTAATAATATCAAACATATAGCATCTATTTTTGCTCTTTAGCTTTTGTTTAATAAATAAGCTTTACAATTAAGTCAAATTTGTTTTGCTTCTAATTCTTCCTTTGCCTGATTTTGCATTATCTTTAATTTATGGACATGAGTGTAGTATATGACTTATTTACATTTAGATTACAGCAAATTCCTCGTATGAAATCGCCTGAACTTTACAATGATACATTTTGTATACAGTGTTATACAAATAAGGCTTAGAAAATTATTAAAATTATTTGAGGCTTAGAAAAGTAAATGCTATGGACAAATAATAAAAGTATTTCACCTATCTTCTTCTGACTGAAGTACTGTCCTTTCTTTTAATATACAGGGAACAACCTGTCTGTTCGTTCCTTTGGATACCCCTGTAAAATATGATATTATATGAGAGTGTAACAGATATTCAAACATTCCAATCAATGTATTGGTAAAAATGCATGTAAACACAAACTTTCACCATCTTGACTTTCACATCTCATAATTATTGTGAATTTCGTAAACAGCAGTTTTCTTGTATATTTACTGGATTAAAAAAATGTATTTCTATAAGAATGTTTAAAGCAAGTTACACTGCTAGACATTGAAACTGCAACGCCTACAAGGATCAAAGACAACGGAGTTTATTTTATACATTACTTATAATGTAAAGACGAAATTATTAAAATTTCTTGTATGTTAGATGAATAAAAACTGATTTGCTCAGTACAGAATAGTCATTATATTGATGGAATTTCGGGACTGAAATTCAGGCAGGTGTCATTTGTCGCCCATTATTCATTAACTACAGCTGTTAATAATCTTTACCATGCTAGTGTGTGCGTTACTATAGACCATGTGGGATCAATCTGGGAAATATCTGACGGACACATGGTTAAAAAAAATAATAAGGTACTGTATTTCAACCCTGTGCGTCGAAGAATGGCTGTCTGTCTTTCAACTCTGCGTTCGAATTTCCTTAGAAGGCATGGATATTTGTGTCTGTGCGGCATGAAGACATTTAAATACTGCTAAGCCAAAAACGCTTTCGAATGGCTTCGTGGTAGAGAAAAAGGGGTGAAAGACCGTCCAAAGGGGGTTCCATCAAAATTGGTCATTTTATGCTCGGGACTGAACTTGTATGACCAATGGTAAAATTCCTGTGCGTCAAGGAAGTGTCAGAATCTAAGTGCCTCATGTAGTTGTGCATTATCCTGCTGCCATGACCTTCGTTAGAATATGTAAGATACCTGTGTAACTATTTCTCATCTGCATGACTATGTAGGACAAGATTCGAGCGAATCAAGAAGTTCGTACATCACGACCATACTGATACATTCTCCACGGTGGTGCTATACGCGCACATGTCTATTCTGATGTTAGATATAGAAGCAGGATTCGATTGAGAAGACGATATCGCGCTATTCATGCTTCCACTATATCGTTTAATAAACCTCTGCAACCGCAAAAATCTGTGTGATATTGTTAAAAGTAGGCAGACAAAAGTCCCCTAAATTTAACACTGGTACCTGTTAAATGTAATATGGGATGACCCTTGTCTTGAACGAATATGCGAGAATCAAGACGGCGCCTTACCATACGCAGAAACTCTTCTTCCCGTGCCACATACTGAATGTCTTGTGGCAGGGTACATGATAAGGCTGTACGGTTCGTACGGTAAATTCGCACAAGATACCTGCCTTCTCGGGCATTAGAGCATCTGCTTCGTTGTGAGTTTGCGTATTACTCCGTCCGTACCTCCTACACCCAACGGCTTTATATTCACGTGACGAAGATCAGATTTCGACCCACACGAGCAACAGTTGGGCGATATAATAATCTACAGTAAAGATACGCTGTTATTTTCCTGCGATCGAATTCAGACACATATTGCTGTAGACTATGTCTTCTTATATTCAACGTATACTAGTCAAATAAACCAGAAGAAAACACGATTCCCATTTCTAAAATATTTCCTCTTCTGTTCTCTTTGTGTTGATTTTATAAGGCATTGTAGCCACCCATTATTTGCATATGCTTTGATTCTTATCATTTTCATGTCCTACCTTACTGTGTTTATTATGAAAATTTCTTGTTGATAGGCTTCTCCTTTTGTTATGCTGCAATTTTAATGACCAACAGTGTATTTTTATCTTTTCGGAAATGTGATAATGTGGTGCCGTCGATACAAAATTCCACCTATAAATTAGACTTTTCTCGCTTTGTTTATTATGCCTTCTAAAATGTTCTGAAAAATGATGATTTCAAAGCGATACATTCCTAGCTGCAGATGCAAACAAAGTTATTATTTTTGATTAGAATCGTGAAGTGAATGCCACAGAGCCCTATTAAGTTGAAGAATAGGAAGGTCTACCATGTGATTACCGAAGTTTGTGACATAATTGTTGGGAATGTAAGATTATAGCGTAATTGTTGCACACCACATCAAAACAGATAAATATTGATACGTGTGCCATAATTTACTGTAAATATGAATATAACATTTGAGCATAATAAGGCTAATTCAGTGTTAAACAGAAGAAATACTTTTCAGGTCCAGACTTACACAAAAATTAAATTTTTAGATTCACTGCGTTTTTAATCATATTAATATATTAGTTACTAATGGAATTGATCTGATCATATGTGAATAATTGACCAAACATAATTTTGTTTTACCTGCGCATATATCTTCTGATTCTTTGACATCCACCAGTCGGACTTTTTCTGGACTCCAGGATGTATCCGAATGGAAAGAAGCTTTAACATCGGTTATATTAATATCATCTCCTATGTAAAATACATCGCAGGCTACCTGTTAGACAACATCAAAATATATAAAGCAATGGCTCCCTTCATTTTTATGATTTCAATCACGTGAGACAGTGATATCTTTGATGTTTTCTTACCTGAAATACCTCTTGAGCCCATTGACTAAAAGAGTGTTCCTGGCCACAGAGTTCGTCTCCTGTGCCCATTTTGACCATTCTTTCTCCGCCAAGCTCTCCAAGCATATTATCCACGTATCGGCCGAAAGAACAAAAGTTAGGATAAGCGCTGGAGCCAAGTGCAAAGACTGCGAATCTGCGAGATAAGAAAAATGCCTGAATAGTCAACGTTTCGGCATGTGATATATCAGCATTTGAATTTTTATGTGATTGGTTCTGGTTAGTGCGGATGTTAGGTTATCAAAACTGCTCTTTATTGTGAAGAAATTCTGAGAACCGCATCCCATATAGGAAGAAGTGGCTAGAAATTTCTTCGCCATTTAATTTTAATATTTCGCACAACAAGAAAATGTCTTAGTCTAGACTTCTAGCTTTTTAGTCCTTGGAAAAATCTTTAAATACTAAATAACATTAATAGATAAATATTAATAATTGTTTACACAGATTATATAGTACTTCCAATCCTCAAAATTAAAAAAAAAAAATACCAGTCTTTTAGGAACGAACGAGTCTGCTGTCATTTCTAACGCAGATGGGATATGGTAGCAAAATGATAATTTTCATTGCTTATAAAAAGAAAATCATTTTCGAAACTTTAAAGCCTCTGCTATTGTTAAAAGAATTCTTCACAGTCACCTCTTTATTTTCAAATTTATTAGTTCTTTGTTCTTGCTTTCAAAGCTACACAGCGTCGTCCTCTGGCTGCTTAAAGCTACAGACCTGCATGATTTTCAGTGCTTCTTGGTCTCGTAAATTATTTCAGTGGTTTCCAAAGCACCCAGTAGAAGGCTGGAGAAAACATTTTCTAATATCGTAAAGAACTTTTAAATTGTTATTTTTGCTTCCTAATTATATATACCTATTTTATATCTTAATTAGTCTGTAATTAAAAATTAATTCTTAAGTTATATAATTTGTAGGAGTCATTAGGTTATTTCTGAAGCAGGAGATATAAAAATGAGCAATGACCTCGCTGGGACTCGAACATGGACTTCTCGAATACGCGCCGAGTGTGTTATCGTTACATCAGGAAGGCATGCAGAAAGGATGAATACCTTATAAACTTACTTACTACTATTAGCCCAAAAGGGACGTTATTCCCTAATGGGATACTGGTCTTAAAAATTTTTATGTGGATGTTGTGCTTAGTGGAGCGAAATCTTCGAGTACAGCTAAGGAGCTTAAATCTCAGTTAACTGCAATACTGAAGAGTGCAGGAATGGAACTGCACAAGTGGTGCAGTAATTATGCTGAACTTGCGGAAGAAATCACACCTATCCCTTTCCTAATGAAGAAGAATCTACAACACTTGGAGTGTTCTTGAGATCTAGGAGAGACTGTTTCTGTTTTAGCGTGATAATGACATGGTTGTTACTAAACGACAGATATTGTCCACAATTGCAAGATTGTTTGACCCGATTGGTTTACTAGGGCCAATCATAAGTAAAGCCAAAATATTCCTCCAACGGTTGTGGTTGTTTTAAAGCTGAAATGGGATGAACCATTACCAAAAACGGAAGCTGATGAAAGGAAGAAGTTCTGTACTGAATTGGAAGTCTTAAGTAAAATAGAAATTGAAAGGTTTATTCTTATTGCAGAAGTAGACCATGAGGAACTTCATGGATTTGCAAATGCCCCTGAGGTAGCATACGGAGCAGCCATATATTGCAAGTCCCGTTCAAGAGTTGGAAAAGTGAAGACAAGGCTAGTGACTAGTAAATCCAGTGTCTCGCCTATAAAACGAGACTGGAGGTTTGTGCGGCAGTCCTACTTGCAAGGTTAATTGTTAGAGTAATATCTGCATTAGAGATTCCTGTGATGAAAGTGTATCTGTGGAGTGACTCCATGATCGTGCTTTCGTGGATACAAAAAGAGCCTTGCCAGTTGAAGACATTTGCTGCAAATCGAATGGCAACAAATCAAGAGTTGACCCAAGTGGTCATCAGTGGCATCATGTGTCATCAAAGGAGAATCCGAGTGATCTTATGTCCCGAGGTTTTACCCAAGTAAACTTCTACAAAATGATATGTGGTGGAAAGGCCCTCTGTTCCTGAGAAACGACGAGTATTGAAATAAAGAGAATCAGGTGGAAGTAATTGTGAAGGACTTTCCAGATGAACTTAACATCCTTAGTGACTCTAATATTTTTCTTAATGTGAAAGCTAACCCTTTTATTTGAGGCACGGTGGCGCAGTAGTTAATGCATCGTGCAGCAGCACCACAGGTCCGGGGTTCGATTCCCAGGCTGGGCTAGGTCGACTCAGCCTTTCATCCCTTGGTTTCCACCACTTGGGTCGATAAAATGAGTACCAAGTTCGCTTGGGAACTAAACACTGACAAGCTGACCACTACTAGTTCAGGGCATATTCTTACGCACCCCGTAGCCCACGGTCAAGAAAACAGATTTTCGGGGGCACTGCAGGCCTTGGCCCATTAGGGCTATTAATAGGCCATTAGGGCTGAGTAGAGTAGTAGAACCCTTTTATTGAGGATTTTTTAAATTTAAGTAATAATTACTCTAAAATCATTCATGTTTTAAGTTTTATTTTTAGGTTTGCAAACAACTGCAAACGGAAAGACAAGGTTCCAGGTCCTCTTCAGCGCTCAGAATTAAAATTATCTGCACTTAAACTGATTAAGCTAATTCAAGATATTGAATTTTAAAAAGAAATCTCAAGCCTTGGAAAGGAGGGTAAGGTACCTCCAGACAGCACAGTAAGAAATATTTTTCCATTTTTAGGTCAGTATGGAATTCTACAAGGAGGCAGATTATCTAATTGTAAGTTGAGTTTGGATAGAAAATTTCCAATAATCTCACCAAAGAATCATAAGTTGACTAAGTTAATTATTGTGATGTTTCATACGAAATACATGCATATTGGCCCACAAGGCTTTGGCCCTTGAACGGGCGCAACATGTGCAGAAAAATAGTACATGGGCGTCTTGTATGCTTCAAAGCAAAACCAGTGCCCTGTCAACAACTTATGGGTCAACTCCCTCAAGAAAAAGTCAGCCCGAATTTTCCATTCAATTGTGTTGGAGTTGATTTCTTTTGGTCCTTATTTTATAAAATACCCACATCAGAGAAAAGGTCGCCTTAAGTAAGGTGTATGTGTGCATTTTCGTTTGTTTTGTTACCAAAGCTTGCCATCTTGTGTTGGTAACAGACCTGTTTAGTCAAGCATTTATTGCAACCTTAAAGCGTTTTTTCAGCAGGAGAGGCAAATGTGCACGCATATTTTCAGATAACGTAACCAATTTTGTTGGTAGTAACGCAGAATAAAAGAAACTGAATAGGCTAGTCAGCAAACTAGATGACGAATTAGGTAATTATGTATCGAGTGAGAGTATTTTTGGTCTTCCATTCCCCCTAGAGCCCAATCATGAAGGTCTTTGGGAGGCAGGTGTCAAATCTGTTAAGTTTTATTTGAAACGCGTAATAGGCAATTTGAAACAAACCTATGAGGAGTATCTTACAGTAATTGCTCAAAATGAAGGCATTTTGAATTCTAGGCCCTTGCTCCTTTATCATCTAGACCAAAGGATTTTGATATCTTGACACCAGGCCACCTATCAGAAAATGGTATTGTAGAACTGCTATTTGTAGAACCTAATATTTTAAACGTTAATGATAATAGATTAAAGAGCTGGAAAAAATTGACTAAAATAGTCTAAACAATATGGAAGTACTGGAAGAATAATTATTTGAGTGCAATGCAAGGAATGGTTCTTCTAAATGGTTCTTCGAAAAGACAATGTCAAGGTTGGAACTATGGTAATTTTAAAGACTGATAATGTTCCTATATGTAACTGACCTCTTGGAAGAATTGTAGAGATATACTTAGGTAAAAACAATAAGGTTAGAGTAGTTTCAGTGAAAATGAAAAGCGGTATTTTTAAGAGATCAGTTAATAAAGTTTGTGTTTTACCTATGCCAAATTAAGCAAAAAGGATGTTTGTAATTAATTATTGTATTTTCTTATTATAGTAGTTTGATGTTATTATTATGTTTTAATTATTTATCTGTATTTTATATTGTGACACTGTGTAAAATTGTATTGTAAGATTTAGTTTTGAATGATTAATTCATGTCAAGGCGGGCGGTATGTTGCGCCTGCACGTGCATTTCATTACTAGCGTCTGCGCATGCGCCTTGAGCTTTTAGAGTTAGTGACATGAGATAGTGTGAGCTTAGAGCGCGTAAGTCGTGGCTTCGTTTGGCCATGAACAATGTAAATGAATGAGAATAGAAGTGGGATATAACACAGTCCATTGTTCCCGAGTTTATTATAGTGTAGTGCCTGTGAAAAACAAATATTTAAAAAAAATTCATAATGAATAATCTGCATGAATGTGCGTATGTTTCTCGCATTGTGGAAAAGCAACGGTACCTAGAGTCATTAAATTTTGAACACTGTAGTACTCTAACCCGAAAATGGGCACCTGGAAGACCGAATTAAATTTATTTTTTATTATCTATTTCATATTTCGGAACATTTGAATGAATTTTTTTTATTAACAATTTAACGATTTCAAAGCGAGCAGTGGCAACACTGTACGGAGTTCAATACTGAATCACTGGGTTACGTTAGTCACTAACAGAATTATGACATTTTAGGGAAGCCAATATAGCAAACTCTAATGATAAAATTAAAAATATCGTAATGAAAGTATGCTATGAAATGAAATGAAAAGTTAATTTTAACATTGGATTAAAAAAACGTCAAGTTTTTAAGTTAATGCGGAAAGGGAAAAGTTAATATGAAGAAATTAAATCAATAGAGAAAATAAAGAACTTAATCAACAGAAACACTTAAGGTACTGGAAAGTACGACGCGTTTTCGATAGGTCTAATTGTAAAGATGTAGGTGATACAAATGTGCATTAAGGAACTTATTCTCTAAGATCTCAAGAATTACTGAATTTTGTCCTGAAAGGGTATATCCGAATAAAAATATTTGGTCGAGGTTAGCCGCTTTTTCCCTTTCTTCTTCTATAAATTAATAATTTCTAATTCTTCAAGAATAATAAACATTCATTAAAATATCCTGACGAATAGCCTCCCAGATGGTATAGTGGTTAGGAAAGCCGACTACGAAACCGGGCTCGAATTCCAGAGAAGGCGTGGTTGTCCCTTCATAGGAGGTAACAGTGCCCGCCTATTAGGTGCCTCCGTAATAAAAAGGATTAAAATGGATTTAAATGGTTCCCATTGAATAATTCTAATGCAAAACTATTAAAATTACATTCACGCAAAGAGAAAGAATTTGGACTATTAATTGAAAATTTTTGAATTAACAGCTGAGTGTGATGCTTGTTAAAGTCTGAAGTGACCAATATGTACTCGAGCACAAGAAACTCCTATCTTATTACCTTTGAATAGATTCTAACATTCTACTGTGTGTTTCACATACTTGAGAATTATTGACGTAAATTAGAACGATGTTCTTTGTTCTTTAAATCAAGCATTTTTGCATATCCGTAACATAAAACAATAAAAGAACTTACAACGAGAGGAACGTTCTTCCTAATTTTAAGACAATTCATGAAATAAAAGCAGAAAAAATAATTTCAACATTTTAAAAATAAAAGATTTTAAAGAGTTTTAGTAACCTTTCAGAGCCAAAGGAAAAACTTCAAAGTAAAACCTATTCCAAGCGATACATATATATTTTGCGAGAGATAAATCGAAGAACAATTTAGAGATTCTCCTTTCACAGAAGCGCTAAAAGTTTTCCTGGACCTATTTTATAACTGAACCTGAAAGAATAAGGAATTATGAAGAATTTTGAAATTATCGACGTCAGTATGGAATATGCCATAACAATGGAGATTGCCAGAAGGAATAATTGGAAATATTTCCACGGCACACAAATTATAGAGGCGGCGAATAATAAGAAGAAAATGAAGATAACCCATTTGAAGTTCAAAGGAGGACATAACAGCGTTGATCAGTTTGCATTATATCTGTCGGCTGTTGTTGTTTATTTAGTCATTGAGTACGATGCATAGTTATTCGAACAATAACATTTGCGGACGAAATTTGATTAGCAAGTATGTGCGTGTATAGAACGATGCAAAATTCTTAGAAATGTAACATTTAGGGATAAAATTTGATAAGCAAATACTGTAGTTTGCGAATTAATTAAGACAACGCGATTTTTTTAAATAATTTATGTGCATACTTTCGTATACAGTAATGATAATAATAAAATTAATAGGAAATATGTCCTCCTTTAGTAGAAATGACCTTTAGGATATCCTTAGGCATTGACTCTACTAGTCCTGTGCATATATTTTTTACTTCTTCATCATGGAACCCCAATTATACAGTGCTTTTAATAATGCGCTCTTTTGTCTTACAAACCCTTTTTGATAAGATGTTTCTTCAGAGTGCACTACAAGTTTTCAATCGGATTTGAGTCTGGCGAATTTCCAGGCCAATCTAGCACAATAAATTTGCAGGGGTTGGACAAAAATATGGAAACACCTTTAAAAAAACATGTTTCTTTGCTTAATATGGTGTAGGAAACCCGTTGGCATCCAAAACAGCTTGCAGTCTTCTCGGAATGGATAAATACAGTTCCTGTATGTTTGCCAAGGAAATATTATACCATTCTTCCTGCAAAACGGTGGCAAGTTCAAATAACGATGTTGGCGGTGGATAACGAGAATGCACTTTCGGTTCCAATGTAGACCACAAAGGTTCGATAATATTCAGGTCTGGTGACTGTGGTGGCCAGGGGAGATGGGACACTCATCCTCGTGCTCAGAAAACCAGTCCTGGACAATGTGAGCTGTGTGAACAGGGGCTTTGTCGTCTTGGAAGACACCATCACCATCGGGGAACAAAGTTTGTACCATGGGATAAACTTGATCGGCCAAAATGTTCACATAAGTCTTGGCAGTCATGTGCTCTAACACAGTTATCATGGGGCTAGCAGAGAACCACGATATGGCTGCCCAAACCATAACAGAACCCCCGCCATGTTTCACTCTTGGCAACAACTCTGTATTTAACTCTGTATTATAGGCTTGAGATGGCGTTCTCCAGACGTAAACTCGGCCAGAAGTGGGAAACAATGTGAAAGAAGCCTCGTCAGACCATATTACTCGCTTCCACTGCTCTATAGTCCAGGATTTAGGACTTAAACACCAACTTTTCCTGTTACGGGCATCACTGATGAGTGGCTTCTCAATTGCAGCACGGCCAGCAATTCGCTGTTTATGAAGCTCCCTTCTAATTGTTTTGGTACTCACAGGGTTCGGTAACACAACATTCATTTCAGCAGTAACTTTTGCAGCTGTGCTCTTCTTATTTTTCGTCACAATTGCCCTTAATGATCGTCTGTCACGATCACTCAGGACACACTTTCGTCAGCGCTGTGATTTAGCAAATGATGTTTTTCCGCTTTTCAAATATGCGGAATAAATCTTCGATACAGTACCTCTTGAAACACTAAACACCTCGGCTACCTTGCTTACGGAAGCACCTACCATACGTGCTCCAACAATTTGCCCACGTTCGAAGTCTGTTAACTCTGACATAATGCAATGACAACCTCACATAATAGTACTCCGACAACAACTGAACTGTTTAGCACATTTACGAAGTTGTATAGGTGGCGTCAGTAGTCAAAAACGCCAGCGCCACCTACATATTTCATTAAAATCAATCTTTCTTTTCAAACATGCATTTCACAAGGTGTTTCCATATTTTTGTCCATCCACTGTATTTTGCAACGTGAATCTTCTGAGAGATTTTGAGTTGTAGCATGGAGCCAAGTCATGTTGAAAGTCTCTGCAAAGTTTATCTGCAATGGCATAATCCTAAGTTTAAAAATTTCTGTATACGTCGATTAATTCATCATTCCATCAATAGAAACTAAAACTCCAGTGCCATCTGCAGCGGAAAAGAACCCAGAATATTTCTTTTTGAGGGTATTCTAAGATTTATTGGATAGGTTGAGGTCTTATTGATTCACTCTTGCTTTGTCTAACAACATTAGATTTGTAACCATGAACAAAAAGATGAGTATTATTAATGAAAATGACTTTTTACCTGTCAGTTTTGGCCCGAGATTTGTATATTTTGGCTCACAGTAATCGCTTTTGCATCATTTGGCGTGTTAAAAGTTCTTTTATTATTTATCTTGTAGAGACATTCGGCTATTTCAAAGCAGGGCACATGAAAAATGAGTAATATCCTCGCCGGGACTCGAACCACGAACCTTTTGAATATGCGCCGAGTGTGCTGACCACTACACAACGAAAGGATACTAAAAAGGCGGGAGAAATACCTTACAATCTTTCTCACCTTCTGCCAAGCAATGGAAAGCCTACGCCTCACATTTGATGGATGAATATCAGTACCAATAGAAAATGGATCTCTTCTAATGTATTTGTTAGTTTTTATTGGAATAATAATGCCATTTCGGAGTAGGAATCGATAAATTTTTGGAGCGTTTTTCCTTTTCCTTTCGCATTTGCTCTTCCTTTTTGGAGAAAGTGATTCACTTTTATTCTGTCGGATTACTAGAAAAACGCTCAATTTTCCAACCGCGTAAACAATGTTTCTTACAATCATGGATGTGTGACTGCTAATTGCGATAATCTTTGCTCTCTTTCTAGGCGTTATGTCCATTTCTAGTATATCAAAATGAAAGAATACAAAACATATTTGAAAAATATGCAAAAGTAACTTCCTCTTCTCACAGAAACAAGCTTAAAAATGGTGCAATAATACTAACTTATTGTCTAAACCGGTTTTAAGTAATCGAAAGCAGATATTCAGATGACATTAAGACAGATAAAACTGCTTTGAAGGGCTGCTGGCTACCATCTTAAAATTCCCTGAAGAAGGTCGTTTTGTCGCAATTAATTTGTACCCTACAGTATGTACAAATTCATAAGCTATTTGATTAAAATACTTCAAGTGGCAGAGCGGCATGTATACATTCGAAAATAAATATTTGTTATGATACCTTTGAAGTACCAAGACACGCATTTCGAAATTTTTCCAGACACTTAGTATATATTTTAGAAGAAAAAGAGTCAAAATACAAAGTAGGAGGGTCATTTGGGAATTATAATAAAGAAAATGTCATTTACTTATGGGCCTTTTGAGAAATTTAGGGCAAAAATTTTAGCTCTATTTTAAGGAGACTGAAACCAAATATTTTATGACTAATAAATGAATCTTCATAAAACCTCATTACAAATCAGTATGCTTGTAATGAGTAAGAAACGAACTTCATACTACGAAAACATTATAAAACTCCATAAAACGAAGACTAAACTCATACAATGATAAAGCAACTTCATAGAGCCTCATACAAATCAATATGTTTGTAATGAGTAAGAAACGAACCTCATACAACGAAAATGAACCTCATACATTAGAATCGCTACATGATATATATCAGTATATTTGTAATGAGTAAGAAACGAACTTCACAGAACGAAGAACCTCATATAGTGAAAACGCAATCTCATACAAATCAGTATCAGTAACGTCACACAAACGAACTTCATAGAACGAAAATCTTCTTACAACGAAGACGAACCTCATATAGTGAAAACGTAACCTCATACAACGTCATACAAATCAGTATCTTTATAATGAATAAGAAACGAACCTCATACGAGGGAAACCTCATGCAACGAAAACGAAACTCGTACAATGAAAACGCAACCTCATACAACCTCGCAAAAATCAGTATGTTTGTAATGAGTAAGAAAGACAGGAAAATTACGCATTTGTATCAATATTTATATAAATAAGTTGTTTGATTATTACTGATTTTATTTACTGTTGATGTCACTTTTGTTTCATTGATTAATAACTGTTCAAATATTTTTTCCTTACCTGACATTGCTCAAAGGGCCTATGTTATCATCCAGTTCAGCAGTTGGTGTGAAGTTAGTAGTTTCATCTTCCTGGTATTCAATAGGCATACTGTTCATTCTGACGAAAGGCATACACGTGCTGCTGTGATAATGAGAAAAAATGATAATAAATACATTGTAAAAGCAAATAAAGACTCCTTTGCTCTGTAATCTCAATGTGTAAATGTAACAAAAGCGAATTTCTTTAATAACGAATTTGGCAATGCCTTATTTAAATTAACAGCTTAAACAGTTAGTGTAACAGCAAATGACAAGTTTGTTTTAACCGTAAGTTGGGTTTATTTGACTATGGCAAAACACTCGAGGGCTATCTGTCTAAGCGGAGGGATGGCTTCGTAGAGTACTTTCTAGGGGAAATTGGCTAGTTACACGTTACACATGGAGAAAATCACGAAACGCCCAAGCAATCAGCTCGATCGTGAGTCGAATCTCGGTGCGAACTACCAGTGTTCTGCGACTTTACTGTTCGGGCGCTGGTGGGCTTCCCACCATTACTGAAATATGCACAAGCAAACTATGTAGCCGCTTTCTGACAATGCGTTTGTTAGCTGTCAGTGTCGCAATCGTATGATCTCGATCACTTGTCTGTCATATCTTTTAAAATATTAGACTTTTGAAATAAACAACAAATAATCAGAAAAAGGAGATCTACTCCATAGGGCTATTCTTAACCTGAAACGGCATTTTGCGTTGAATCATTTTTCAGATTGTTGCCACCAAAAGTTATCGTCTTGTATTATATCTAAAGAAATTAAGTAATGAAGAATCTACATGAACGTATGCATGTTTCTCGCATTATGAAACAACGACTGTACCTAGAGCCATTCAAATTTTCAATAACGTAGTCATCCACACAAATACGGTCACCTGCAAGCACGAATTTGGAATTTGTTTTATTCTCTCTTTAATATTTTGTAACCAGCGACCAGTGGACGGAATAAAACTGTACGGACTGTACGAAATATAATATTTCTAGACTATCTATCGGAAATCCTAAATATATCTTGTTTTTAAATACTTTTAATCCAAAAGGGCATAAATCCAAATGCTATCGAAACTAGTATGTGAGTGGAAATGAAGAGAATGCCCCTTTGGACGTAATATAAAATCTGAAGGCTTTCAGATTTTTCCTTTTTTAAAATTCTAAAGATACGCTATTTTTAAGTACGTTTACCTCAAAGGAGCATCAGCCCAAATGCTTTCGAATCGTTTATGCGTGTGCTAATGAAACAAAAAACCCACCCCTTTGGGCATAATATAAAATATGAAAACTTTCAGAATTTTTTTCCTTCTCCTATAATATGTTTTCTAAACATATTGAAAAATAATAAGGTAAAATCAAGAATGAAATCGAGTACTTTTCGTAAGAAAAGTCCTTATGGGTCTTTAGTTTTGCAACCGTTGGCCATTGACTGATAATTTCAATTAATAAATTATTTAAAATGACCCAAAGCTTCCGTAGTTTTTAATTAAAAAATAATCTTTTATAAAATATGTAATTTAACCTTTTACCTGCTATGTATGCTTCTTCATTTAGGCAAATGGTATAGTCTTCATACAAATAAAAAAATTATAAAAATAACTGAAAACTGAATAAGCAATGTTTTTTGAAGTCATTTTCAATTTGCTTTGAGGGATCTGTTAATAAATAAATTTGGATAAGCAAAGTCGATTTTTATTTCTTTAAATGCCATTCTGTGATTTTTTTTTTCGATTTACTAGTCGTTATATTCCTCAATTTATAATTTTATTACTACAGGTAGGCGAAAAGAATTTTCATACAAATAATTTTGTAAGTTTTAAAATGTTAGTTTTATTAGTTTAGAATCTTAATCTACTGTTGTACAAAACATTCGCTACCTTACAAATATATTCAATTGTTTTTTCATTTAACTAAGTTTATGAGTTGGTGATATGATAATACTGAAGCCTGCTACTGTTTTTTAGAGCAAGAATTCTGTAATATTCCGTGAATAAGATCCCTTGTTTAACAAATGCTGCACTGATCTATCCGTTTCGTGATAACATGCATAACAATGCTCGTTATTTAATGTGTTAATATTAGTAACTTTTTTCGAAGCCGATATTTTAGTTAAATATAAATTCAAACACTTCGCTTTTCAATTTGTGTACGGTCCCTTAATATAATGCCCAACTTTAAAACTAAATATATTAATCAATTTCTGTTGTACGGGTATCACACCTATAATATTGTAATTTGTATAATGAGTATAGAATTTTCTAAATAGGATTACAGGATGAACACATAAAACATTAGATTTCACAATTTTTACAAAACTGATTTTTTTTTAAATTTAAGAACGCCATACATGAGTATATGCATCATTTAAATTATTTTTGTGATTGTAAGTATGTCTTCGACTAACGATTTGGAAATAAATGCCGGGTAAAGACTTTGGCGGACCTGGCATATGATCAGGTGGAAATTGTTTAATACATTAAATTATTGTGTATTATTTGAAAAACTCTTTAGATTTAAAACAAGTTGGAAAATTTACATTAAACTATTCATCTGCTTTCATTAATCTTTTGAATTTTCGATAAATATCACATTACAAAGTAAAACGCATAAAGAAATTAAAGCTTTCATACCTTATATACTCGGCATCCGGTGTTGTTTCTCCTGTAACTTTGATTGCTTGTAGACTCCTTGCGAATGCCTGCGGAAATATAGATTAGTACATTGCGAATATACAACAGAGACAGCAAATTCATATTTATTCTGAATGTGTGAATATGGAGTTTATGTTTTGGAGACGTTTTCCTGTCACCAGTTGGTAAAACGTTTTCACCATGACTTTGAGTTTAGTAAAGATTTCCATAAGTCAAAGATTTTTGCTAACCGTTTGGACATTACGATATTAACGCTGAGTTAAACATATGTTGTTTCTGAAATCTGATTTTCTTTTTGTGTGTGTACTTCAGAAAAAGTACATGTTTCTAATCCGAATAGTATGATCAGTCCAATGTACGCAAGAACCATTCAGTGGTTTCAAAAACTGTCATTGAAATTAAAGTGCTTTGTAATAGCACTTTTTGAGGAGCCTAAACCTTCTGCTAATCTCTATCCTATACTCTATTGATTCAGTATTGGCATCAGAAAAGCTTTGAACAGGCGACGCACAATCGTTATAAGATTTGCAACGCTATCTTTTGGTGTATGTTGTCAACTTGTTATCAGAATATGAATTAATTTATATAAGCGTATTGATTATCTGTATATTCAATGTGTTTAATGATTCTGTGTACCATTTCCTGTGATACGATACAGCAAAAGAATTGAAAACTTTGAAGATATCTTTATATGATTCATTCTGTATTCAACATTAGGCTTTTCATGATTATGATTGACACTAAGGTCAACGGACAAACAAGGTTAGACTCTTCCCAACACTGACGTCACTTACTTCTAGAAGTGGAGGAAATGGACACAAAGGAAGTATCCGCTTTTGAGCAGACTTGGGAACCAGTGACGTTACATAACAAGAGTATACTGTAGTATAGTAACTTTGTTTCCTATTTTGTTTACGGTTTGTGATTTTTATACCCTCTGGCACTAGCTGATAATTACAGGTACCCATGAGCACTGCACAATGCATTCTGCCTAGAAAGCCTTATGATTTACCAGCCTGCCCACAATGATTTAACGTCATATAATTTTTATGATTCTTTTATTTTCGTATGAAAAGCAAAGATAACACTAAAACAATAATTAATGAGTCTCTGGAGACGATTTATGCTGTTTAATATTAAAAAAGACTGAAGTTATGCTGTTTAATATTAAAAAAGTTTAAAAAAGACTGGTCTCTGAAGACTAATTTATGCTGTTTAATGAATCTTATACAATGCAACAGTTTTCTTACTTTTTTTCCATAAAAAGGGGGATTCACTTCACTATGGAAGGAATTATTTGACTAATCAAAGCATTCTATAGTTATCTACCTATGGGAAGAAGTGCATTCGTGGAGGACTATGTAAAGAAAACTAGCCCGTATTTACATTAAATAAAAGGTAGAGCTCCACTGATATTAAAACTCATCGGTGCATATAATGGTCATCGAAATCGACACAGCAAAATAGAACTGGAAAATTTATGGCAACTCTCTCAATAATATCAAGGGAAACACTTATAAGTAGATAAAATTAAATCTTAAACGATGAATTCTTGCTGGTCGAAAGTGAAGCAAAACTCTTAACTCATGAAAAAATGCCATATATGACTGCCATAATAGCTCAAATTTTAATGATAATGATAAACGAATGAGAAGTTTTGAAGGAAATTGAAATAGGAAACAAAATAGATATCTAAGAAATAATACTGCATCAAAATCAAAGCTTTAAATCAAGTTTTATAGGAGGAAGCGAAAAGAGAAATACTGAAACAGATTTCCTAATTAAATCATTTACACATTGAGGACGGTGCAGATTTTGTTATATCGCACCAATGGACGGCAGTATCTTTAGCTGAAGAACTTTTATGTAAATCAACGAATTAATGTGGTACTGTAAAAGAAGCAGAAAATTTCTACCGATAGCAACAACACTAAAACAAAAACGAGGTGACATTGTGAGTGTTGAAAATCCTAAAGGAGTTAAGTTTTTTAAATGGACAGACAAACGGTCAGTTTGCATGTTAACTACTTGCAACCATCATACTTGTAATATGATTGAAGGAACAAGTCGTAAACTAAAACTTGATGCTAGTATTTCTGACTACAATTAATGCGAAAAAGGCGTTGATATATCCTATCCAATTGCATTATATTACAATCCCTTACGCAAAACAGTTAAGTGGTACAGAAAAACTTATCATAGAATTGTCAATCAATCAACATCAATTGTCAATGCATGGTATATTCATAAGAGGTGGGGTAACAATCATTTTAATATTTTAAAATTTAGAGAAAATATTATTGATCGGTTCCTGGATGAAATACCTACAGAACCACAAACACATGAAAGAAGAAGTACACATTTTCTTGAGAAGTATTCCGGGTTTTTCAATAAAAAGTTATTTTTAACGACATGAAGTTTTTTTTTTTTAATCTAACAAAACTGTATTATAAAACTATAGCTGATGTGAGCCACCAGTGGTACATGCCGTCCTCAGCGTGTTAAATGAAATTTGTTTCGTTAGAAACAAACTCAAGCTGGATTCTTTGACAGAGAGAGCTTAAAGATTAGAACAGGGGTTCAAAATTTATTCCAGCCATACGTAGAATTCCGTCAACAATATTAAAAAAAAGTTAAGAGTAATACAACTTTAAAAAACCGCTGCGGTTGTTGCATGTTATTAATTACAAAACGCCTATGCCAGATGCACGAAAACATTTACCCTTTACTGAAATAAATCCCAGCTCGTACAGCAAGGTAGCAACTCAACAATAACAACAGAGAGAAAACAAAATTTAAATCAGTAATCACTGAACATGGATACAGTATAATAGTACAACTATTCAGCTAACTGAACAAATGCTCCCACCAGCAGCCGAGCAGTGAACGCTGCTGAACTCTGGTAGTTCAGTCCGGGATCCATGCAACCAGTCCGTTCGCCGGGCTGGTTGCATGGACGTTTTCGTGGTTTTTCCCGTGTGCGACGTGTACACAAGCCAGTTTCCATTAAAAGTCCATCCCTCCCTTTCCGTGTAGTGCCTTATGGTGAAGCTCCTAATAAATAAATAAATAAATAAATAAATAAATGCAGCTTAGGGAGGTGGCGAACACTTCTGGAAATTTTACGAAAAATTGCTCTTAAAATTTCAAAAAAGCGTTTGCCGGAAATTTCCAGAAGGTCGCTAATGTGAAGAGAAATCGTTAAATGATGTTAAATTCATGATAAAAACTGTCGATAAGACACATCAGTTTTTTTATCTATATCTTAGATTCTAACTGAGTTGCATTTCCAGTTCAAACGTCATGGATTCATAATTACAAAGTCCACGATATAATATACTAAATAAAGATTTACAAGTAAAATAAGTAGCCATAAATTCGATTAAACAAAAATGTATGGTAAATTATCGTATAAAATGTACGAAAAACAAACAAATAAATAAAAACAATACTTTAACAACACTTTAAAAATTCACAAAAACCAAAATAAATAGAATAAGCGCAAATACTTATATTTATTTGCATCAATAGGGAGAGTAAATATTTGTACTTCTTTTCGCACATTTAATTGTATTATAGTTTTTGATTTTTGTTACAATCTTTTTAGCGTTAGTTTTATTTTAAGTAACCAGTTATTTATAATTTTAGCTTTAGTATCACTTCTCCTTTCTGTTTCCCCACCAGAATGCAAATCATTTTAGAGTATTTAAGTCGATGGTTATTTATTATAAGACAAAGCGTGTTTCTGCCTCTCGATGCCACGTTACTAGTAGTTTTCGTAAAGACTTCGTTCTCTGGTAAGACTAATTCTTCGGTTTTGCGTTATTGCTAACGACATTTCCGTTTCATCACCAGAATGCAAATCATTTTAGAGAGTATTTAAGTCCAGGATTTTTGATTGTAAGACAGGGCATGTTTCTGCCTTTAGAGGTCATGTTACTAGTTTTCGCTAGCTCTACTAAGATTGTAATTCTTCGGCTGTGCATTATTGCTGCCGACATTGAAATTGTTACTCAGTTGAGAAGTTTTGAGTCAACTTTACGTTAAATCAGCTGTGTAGTCTTTAACTACTAGGCTTAGTTTAAATTTGAATTTCACGGTTACTTCAAGTTACATCGTCACAAGTGGTGGTTGATTTGTAAGAACAAGATGCGAATTTTATGTTCAAGTTCTGATTTAATGAAAAAGCTGTTTTAAACCATTTTAAGACTCTAATGTTACTTCGGTGCAGGCAAGAATTCCCTTCAATTCTGTTAGGAGTTTGATGTCACGAAAGACAGTCAAACTCCCTAAGTTTTATATTGTTTTGATACTTATTTGTTGCATTGTGGGTAACAATTTTAGCCTGTATAATTGACTCTGAGGCCACAGGTTTTGTATACGAGTAATTATGTCTTGTTACAGGTTTTAACTGTGAACATAGCTGAATTAGAACGGGGGATATAGGCAGAAATACTCCTGGTAAGCCTTGGCGACTTAAAAAACGAATTTTTTATTAAGGAGCCGATTTTTCCTGAAAGCTTCTAGAACCGCGTGCTCTACCGTATACATACGGCTTCGACAGACATCGACGGCGATCTGTAATTTCATTCGAAGGCTGAAATTGCTGCGCAACGAGCGTATTTGAAGGGGGAGTAAGCTTAAACCTTTTCATAATGTCTCACGAGCCCCTTTCGATTGATTTCACTTAATTTTTATTGGTTCATGCACGCAGACTCATGCTTCATGCTTGATGATAAAGGACTCCCTGACGGTCATTCATTACCCAAGATGTTATCTACTTTTGAAAAAGTGCATAACAATACTAGGAATGCAGGATCATCTGATAAACTACAGTTGTGTAAAGTGAAGGAACGCAAGTTTATCCTAGATTTCGATGAGCGCGAACTTCCCTCAAAACGTACAAAGATCAACAGCCGATTGAATTAAAGCTCAAAGATAATGATCCTAATGAGGGGACTGATAATACCTGTTCTGCCAAGAAAAAGAAAAACGGGGAGAAAGTGAAAATAAGTCTCGACTCCACCTATCTATATCCAGATTTTTTTTATTAAGATTTTAATTTGACTTACCTTTGATTTTTAATTTTACAGAGGCTGTTCACACATTTTTTTAGCAATGTATATTGTATTCACAAAACTAAATTACATAAAATCCTTGTGTTTTAAATGTTCTATTTGGCATCCCTTATTCTGAACTATCTTTCGACACCGCAATTTCGAGGATAATAATGCCCTTTGAAGTGGCAGAAGAGGTATTCTATCCCATTCCTCCCGAACAGCTTTCCAGAGTCCTGTTAGGGTTTTGGGACAACGTTTGGATAATGCAGTTTTTAAAAGTCTCCAAGCACAAAAATCTATAGGTGACACATCGGGAGATTTAGTAGAGATATCAGTGAAGGGTATGGCCTTGATACCATATTTTTTTCCCATTTCTTTTAGGAAATTTACAGTGCATTTTGTTGTGTGACTGCTAGCTTTGTCCTCATGGAGTCTCACAGATTGATGACACTGTGGAAAAAAGCGATGGTATTTCATTCAGAAAAATTGTCGATAAAATATGTTCCTGATAGTATTTGGGGTTAATCTTGACATTTTTTTGCACTCTCTTTATTTTTAACTTGCCATTATAAGAAAAACTAGCAACAATCACGAATTCCTTAGAAACACTTTCTTTCGATTCTTTGAAGCATGTACTTAAATTTTTTTCTCCCCTTTTATGTAATAAATGGCTCTTTTTTTTTGTTACAATCATTTAAATACACCCATGCTTCATCTATTGTGACAATTGTTTTCCATTTTTCTTTGGATAAGTGTTTCTCATATAGAATTTTGCAGCGTGTTCTGCGTTGAGCGATATGTTTTGGAAGAAGACGATGCACATTGCGTTTTTTTCGCTTTCTCAAGATTTAAATCAACGTTTATCATTTTGCTTACAGTGGGCACCGAGCATTTTAATGATTTTGCAACTGTCCGTTGGCTAGGGGAATTTTCTTTTAACATTAAACAACGTACATTTGCAAAAGTCGAAGATGTCCGTTTTTTCCTTGGATACTTGTTTGGAATTTTTGTTCCACTTGAGACTCCAATTTGACGTTTGTTTCCTTTCTTGTTAATTATATTACCTATCGACGCTTTAGACATCACAAAACCATGACTCTCACATCGTTTTTGGATAACGGAGTATGCATATTTCTCTTCGGAAAGAGCGTAAATGTAGCCTTCGAACCACTGCTATGTTAAATTCGCTATTTTGAATAAAAACAAAACTTTCAAGCCACGGACGATAATTTTGACTTATTATAAAACATAGTACAATTGCAATTACTTCTTTTGCAGCAAATGATTTTTTATTACCGCTTACCAAAATCGTCTAAAACATGTGCGAACAGCCTCAGTATTTGAAAGTTAAATAGTTGTCAATGGCAATAATTCTCCAGCAGGTTAAGATATATTTTTGTGTCATCCGTTATGCTAATTTTGAAGGACAAAGTTATAAACAATAAATAGCGAATTTTTATAGCTGTTAAATATTTTCCTGAACATACGGAATGATTAGGTGATGAGAAAGCGTATTTTAGGAAAGAAAGCGTTATCCTATTTTTGGACCAATATGATACTTGAACCACAAGCGTTAATATAATATCTAAACTACTGACGATTATGCAGCAGGATTAAGATAAAAACTATATTTATTATAAATAATAACAGTTTACTTCTCCATTTTCAGGTGGATCACCATTTCCAAATGTACTTGTGACTACTAGTAATAAAGTCTCATGTTCCAGGTTGATTATATCATAGTCGGCCATACATATCACCTATAAATAAATTAGAATTAGCATTATACTTACTACATTAAGAAAATTAAATTAATTAATTCTATTTCAATTTAATTTCACCAAGGACCGTAAGAATTTCTTTTTGTAATAAAATTGAATTGGAAATCCATGTTTTAAAGTTCAGTTTGGCAGTGTTACCATCTTTTATCATTTACTTTTTAATGCTTCTTAAGCAGAATATTCATCTTTTTTTAACAGACATATAAAACAAATTAACCCCGATTGTTGCCACCAACTTGTTGTTCTAAATCTCCGGATGAAAGCTACCCTCTAAAAATATCCAGAAAAATTTATTTATACATTGAAAATATTGGGTGAGCTAAAACTAACAGAAAAAGTAAAACTTCAGTAATTCGAAAAGTGTACTTAATGACACGATGCACGTTTCACAGAAATGCGTAGAAACACATGAAACTTTTTTAACAATGAAAAATTTTATTTCCAAAATAATTACATTTTACATTTTCACCAACACGTGGTGCTATAGCATTTCTAAAGAACTCGCAGTTCGCACACTGCTGTTTGATTATCATTCAGTATCATCCTCATGCTATTTATTCTTGCAGATTACAACACATACAGAAATTGAAGCAAACCAGTTTTGAGAGACGTCATGAAATTTCAAACTGGGCTTTTGGACATACGGAAAACAATGCAGATAACTGAGCTGACGAGGCACACGTTTTTCTTAATGGACGTGTAATTGCACGCAACTGTCGCATATCGGAGAGAGAAAATCCACATGCGATTGAGAAACCGCTTTGCGTCAGGCAAAGATGACAGCCATAGATGGCCGTCCAAAGAGGTCAAAAATCACTGAACCATTCATTACGTATCCGTTTTTCTTTGAAAATCTTTACAGAGATACATTTCTAACGGTTTTTATGACTATTGAGTATTATGCAGTGTTTTAAGGAAATAACATTTCTTGCTCCTTGCACGAGAAGTACGTACTGTATAATGTAACATTCATACAGAATGAAGAGCCTCTGCACAGATCCTGCCCAACAACCACTGCGATCGTATTTGACGATGAGCGTGTCCTTCGGGGGGGGGTCTTTCGTCCAGAATGGTCACCAAATTCTCCAGACGTTACATTTTATGACTTTTTATTATGGCCTTCTTGAAGATGAAAGCGCACAGAGGTTGGCAGACGTTTTTGGCCTTAAAGAAAATTGTTTATATACCATCTTGTTACAAGAAGTACAGCTGAATTCTCTACGGTGCTGCGCAAAACATCGATCCACGATTAACTGCCTTATACTGTATATAGGATTACAAATGTGCAATGTAATCCTATATACGTTACGAATTCTGCTGGACTCGTGACGTCCTGTTTGGTACCGTGGTTAGCGACGATGGATGTTATACTGCTGCGTCCAAGTTCGAAATTTGGAGAAAGCATGGAAGTTTGAAGTGTATACTGTCTATGTCACTAAAATGCTGGCAAATCGAATGTTGTTTCGAGTGGTTTGGTGGTTGGGAAAAAGGGTGGGATACTCTCAAATCCACACCCTGTGAGGTAGGAGGGGAAGCTGCCCAGCTAGGGTTGTAGGCCTGTACCTGTACGACCAATTGCGAAATTCTGGTGCCTCCTCCTACTTTTATCTGTACCTGCACGAGTTTCTGACACAACTGAAGCACTACCTATTTGTGAATAATATACCTATTCGGGCAATAAAATGTTTCGCTATTAAAATAATTCTCATGAATTTCTGTGCATGTCACATAAAATACACATATGAATAAAAACATGGTAGGCTACTGATATACTCACACTAGCATTATAGGCATGCGAAAATATATCTCCCAGCATTTTTGCGTACTGTTCTGATCTACCAGTTTCAGTTGCAAAAAGAATAGTTGCTTTGATCCTCCTAGACAGTGCCATTCCAAACAAATTGGAAGTGAACTTTACAGCACTGAAATAAAATACATGTTTCACTTACATTTCACATATATTTCAATTTTTAGAAAGCAGTAAAGATACAGAAAATTATTGTGGTGTATACCTGCCAATTTTGCGAAAAAAAAATCAAGCTTTAAAAAGTTTTCGGGGAAAAACATCAGAGAAATAAATGTACATTAAATTTTACATAGAAAACTGACACATATTTGAATAAATGCTGAAAATACTAAAGCAACAAGACACAGCACACACAAGTTGAATAAATTTGAAATTCTAGTTTGGAAGGTTATAATAGAACTTTATTCTTCAGCTGTAGAAGTAAAATGATGAAGGCGAAGCATATGCTGTCCCAATGACAACAAAGAAAAAAAAAAAAAAAAAAAAAAAAAAAAAAAAAACATTCGAGAAAGTTTTCAGAGTTCACTGTGTGAATGATTTAATGATTTGTTGCATAACAGTTTTGAATTTGTAGATTTTTGATCGTAATTGTAGTGTACTTTTATGATCGAATTTATAATTATTCGTTAAGGGGGAATACAGCATTCAGTTAAAATTAGGCAAAAGCAATAACTTTGTATTTGGAGTAGATTTCAGTGAAATAAACAGCAATTTATTGCTTTTGCCTAACATTATGTTTAACTTTAGTGTGCTTCTCTTCTTCTTGGCAACAATAACTCTCTTTTCTCTTTATGCAGTTTTAGGTTGTAGGGTTTATATTTATTTTAACTAACATTTATTTTAAGTTTAAACTAGCTTTCCTGTCAAGCCTTACTTTCCCCTGGAACTGCCAATGCCAGAGTATGTAAATTTTAGTAGAACGCGCAAGGATTCAAATTATCAGCGGAAGTATTCTGAGTTAAATAGAAAGGAAACGAGTTCGAGGTGTGCTGTTCTTACTTCACGAGCGCGGAGGTTGTTAGCCAGAAATTGAAGAACCCCGCGGTTCGGCCTGTGTGCTTGCCTGGAAGAATTGTTAATCGTTCAAGTGATCTTCAAGTTTGCTGAATTAGCAGCAGTATTGTAAAACGCGGTGAGGTTAGTGACTTTTAGAGAGCCTCGTAGTTAGAGTCTTGTCTTTAGTTTCTTTTCAGGTTATTATTTTTATTTTACCGCCGAGTTGGCATAGTTTGTGAGCGTCAAGAGCACGCCCTTGTAATTTATTACGTTGAATAAAAAGGGGCTTAAACCCTTAACAAGACTCTGTCATTTATCCAGTTTCAACAGTCACCTCTTGGTTGCGTGCAAGTTGGAGGCGCGCAACGCTACAAGGTGTTTTTATGCTTTTGTAAAAACACTTATAACATAAAGCTGCAATGAAGGTTCGAGATTCCCAAATTAATTTAGAAGCTCCTTAAATATATATGCTCTATGTAATTTTTATATTAAATGGAACGAGAAAATATTTTTAAAAAGAAAATAAATTAATAAAAAGCATGCATTTGCTTGCTGATGAAGGTAAAAAGCGTTCCGTATATTTTTGGAATTCTGCGTGGTTGAAATCCAGATCATTATCAGCTTTATTATGCATTTATAAAACAAGATAAACTGAGATTAAAAAAGTGATATTTCCACTAAATTTTCTGTGAACGAAACTAAGCGGTTCAGGCTCCTAAAATACAAGGCCGCTATTGCTTCCTAACTTAAATGTCTGTCTGTTTTGCCTTGTGTACCTGAAATATTTAAAATTACTCACATTCAGAGTAATTTTAAACATTTCAGATTTTAAATGAAAAAAAAAAAACTTCTCAAGACTTTCAGATTTTATGTGAAGCCGAAAGGAGCGTTTTTTTAACGTTTTGTGTGTTACCTTTATTCATTAAATATCATGTTCTTCTCACTTAAATCATAAAATTCAGTTTAACAGCAGTATCACAAAATAATTTATGAACTGCACATCTTTAAAATTTCCGATACACAGTCTCGCGCGCTGGAGATAAATATGTTTTCATTTTTTCGTACAGTGTTACCATTGCTGGCTTTGAAATGGCTGAGTTTGTTAATCAAAAATTCGTTAAAGTTTTAAAACTTCAAAGTAAGTTCAAAATATGAAATATATAATAAAACTAGGCTTCCAGATGTCCATATTCGAGTGGAAAATTACGTAATTCAAAATTTGATGTCTCTAGGTAACGTTGTTTTTTCACAGTGCAAGAAACATACTTCCTTTTATGCAGCTGCTTCATCATTTAACTTCTTTAAATATAATGCAGGGCTGTAATATTTGGTGGCAACAATTTGAAAAGTGAAACGCCATTTATAGTGAACCAACGAAAAATGTTAAAACCTATATTTATAGCCCTTCTGGGCAAATTGCCCTTTTTGGGCTAATAATGAATATTTGAAATTTGAACAAAGTAAGAGAAGTGCCTCACCGCGCTATTTCCTTGAAGCGAAATTTCTTAGAAGGAGTTCGTGGTCCATTTCCAGAGGTTTCGCGATTCTTCTCCCATACGTGGGTTTTCCAAGGTGGGTCCTATAAAAGCAGTATTTAAAAATATAATGGCTAAATTGTCATAAATGTAAAGTACGATATAATTACACATTTTTTTACTCATTTTAACTTATTTGCTACTCTAATTTAGTGCATTAAGAAATAATGGTTGGTTGGTCTTATGTGGTTACGGCAAAGCCTCGAGGACTATCTGCCTAAGGGAAGGGATGTCTTCGTGGAGGACTTTCTAAGGGAACTGGCTCGTATACATGTTACACGTGGGGGAAACCACGAAACCGCTCATGCACACAGTCTGTTGGCGGGATTCCAACCTCGTTTCGAATTATCAGTATTCAGAGACTTTATGCCTCTCGGCCGCTGGTGGGCCGTTAAGAAATAATGAATAGATGAAGATTTTTAAAATTATGGTCGTTAAACTTAATAATAATAAAAGAATTGCAAATTTTATGCATATGTTTATAGAAATGTCGCTTATCATACCTGGTACTCATAGCTGGGTTTGAGATTGTAGTACAGTAATTCCTGATGGAATACCGGTGTTAAGCTACCGCTTAAAGGAGGAACGATCCAGACCCAATCCGCTGGACAGCCACCTCTTAGCCTCATCTCATTCTCCCAGTGCTTCATAAAAGATTCTGAAGCAGTGTGATGATCAACTATTGTAACATTTGCTTTCTGCAAAGAAAAGAGAGATTTCCAGTTATTTACTTACAAGGAAGTACTATAATCACAGAAAATTTCCGGTATCCTATTCCAACGGAATTATCCATTCTGATCGTTCCCGAACCCATTTCGATTATTTTTTGGCGTGACATATGTACGTAAAGATAGAATAAAAGTTTTTTCCAAAGCGCATTTAAAATGGATCGAAAGTGGATCTTAAAAGTCCTTACTTCGCCTTTATTTCCTCAATCGTCGGTCGTAGTCTTAGACTTCTAATTACAGAAGTGTTTTAAATGACGAAAATATTCATGTTTTGGCAATGTCGATTTAAAAAACAAATAGTTTTTGACAAATAACGAAATCTAACTTTGAATGCGGTCTGCCGGTTCTTATGTTTGGGAAAGTTTTATGCTCGTTATGAAAAAATAAAAATACAAGAAGTTTGACGCCTGTGCGGCAAGATTGACAGGGATATTTAATTAAAAAATTTTTAACTTTTGATGTCATTTTCAATTTGCCTCGATGGATCGGTTCGTTAGATTAGAATAATTCGAGGGAAAAATTAAATGACGGGCAGCAAAAAATGGCGAACAACAAATAGGCTGAACAACGAAGTCATGTGATGTCCCCATCAGGCATCTTTTTCTAACATAGATTTTTTTCTCATTTTTAAACTCTGCTTCTTACAAGGTAATTATTACCAAAATATTACAATATATATACAAAATAATTTTTTAAAAATTTTGTTTAATAGTAGATGTGGGGAAAAAATAGTTTTTCCCTAAGTAACTGAAATTTTAAATCGATAAAACTGAAAAACGCAACCATTCGGATACATATGTGAGCCACTGTATGTAAGGATATAAAGTATTTCTCCCGCCTTCTTGGCATGCTTTCGTGGTGGCGGTTCGATTCCCGGCGAAGGCGGCTGCTCGTTTTTCATCTTTCTTTTAAATTACCTACTGTCAGTGGCGCCCGAACTAAAAGGGTGTTGGACGATGATTCTCCTCACCCAGGATTTGGCGACTGGGTCCCCTAAAAACTCCAAATCCTTTAAAAGGGGGAGTATATAAGGTATTTCTCCCGCCTTCTTGGCATGCTTTCATGGTCTGGTGGTCTGCACGCTGGGCGCGTATTCCAGAGGTCCGCGGTTCGATTCCCGGCGGAAGGCGGTTGCTCATTTTTCATCTTTTCTACTTCCAAGTTACCTAACGTCTCTACAAGGCTACTAAGCAATAATCACATAGCTTAGGATTTTGCGCGCCTGTTTGCTAAGTGGTATGAGTCTTGAGTAGAACGGTTCGTCTTTAGTGCTGATTTGTGAGCGTGCCTGCTCATAGCGTCCCGTAATTTTTATGTGCTGTCAGAAAAGTCAAGATTGTGCATAAAATTTTGCTTGTGTGTCCAGGGAAACCACAGCTGAGGCTTTTATTATGCTTCGGAAATCCACCAAAGTCGGTGCTTTGAGTAAATCACAAGTGAAACAGTAGATTTCCAGGTTTTAAAAAGAGCAGCACGCCAGTCGAAGACTTCTGTAGCTTGGAAATTCATTGACGAACAGAAATTAAGAAAACATTGAGAAAATGTGACAGATTACTAGCGAAAATCGACTAACTTACACGACTTCAGAAGGATCTCTTTTCATCGAACTATTCTTGGAGAATAAGAAGATGGAGCTTTTATCTCATTCACGTTAGTCTCCAAACCATCTTCTTCCTCAGACGATATTTTTCTAGTATTTTAATAGTAATACAGAAGACAAAACGTAGGTAAAAGCGTATCGATGCTAGTAGAGAATACGTTGAAGGGGACTACAGTATTTCAGTGTAAAATTTAAATTAATTTCTTAAAAAAATAATTATGTTTAAATTTGGGTATATTTCGTATGCGATGAGTCCCCAGATATAAATAGCATTATTCGGACGCTTTCGATGAAACCTAGAAAGGATTGTTTTGAGGATATCCTGTAATGTGACTCTGAGCACTCAGGAATATGTTTCTAGGTGTTAAGGGATATTCCAGAGTGTCCTGGCGATTAAATAAGTCGGACTTCAAATTCTAATAACATCGCGTTCTCTTTCGATGGGAGCTAGAGAAGATCCTCTCAGGATATCCACGATATGACGTTAAGCAATTCAGAGGATGTGTTTAGGATGTTAAGAGGTATTTCAGAGTGTCCTGGCGATGTAATAAGTAGGACTTCAAATCCTAATCACATCACGTCACGTACTCTGTCGACGGGAACTACAGATGATATTCTGAATATATCCACGATATGACGATAAACAATCAGGAGAATGGACGTGTTTAGGAGGTAAAGAGGTATTCCGGGATTTCTTGAGGATGTAAGAGAGTAAGTGGGACCTTTAAATCCTAATAATATCTCGTACTCTGTAAACTACAGAAGATAATCTGAGGTGTGATATAGTGTGATATAGTGGGATGTGATGTCAGAGCAGTATCTCCTTAGGGCATCAAGTTTAGGAGTTTAGAAGGATATTCCTGGATGTCCTGAGAATGCGCAATTATCTTATGAGCGACATCTTCAGGATATTCTGAGGATGGGTTTTGGGTTACATGGGTGTTATATTTAGAAATTCTGGAAATTCGTAAAACAAGTAACATTTTCAAACTTTTTTTTTTCACATTTTTAAATGCTTAAGTCCAATTTAGCAATTTCTTTTCTAGATGATCAGAATTATCGATATTTTTCACAAGCATTACAGGTTCAGAGTAAGTTTCTTTCTGAGTACCTGAAAAATAAATTGTATTTAAATTTTATTTTGTAAAATTAATGAATAAAAAATTGATTCCTTAAACTTTCTGTTTTGAAGCTAAATAAATCAACCAGTATGCAGTTTACTTTGATAAGCAGCTTTCAACATGATGCCTTTTTAGGCAGTTTTCTTTTAGTATTTCGAGTGATGGCAGAAGAAAACTTTTATGGCTTGCTTTGGTTTATTTGATTACGGCAAAGTAAGCGAGGACTATCTGCCAAAGGTGAAAGATACCTTCGTAGAGGAATTTCTAAGGGAAAGTGGCTCATATCCACGTTACACATAAAACACGATAAGCCCCATGCAGCCATCCCGTTTGTCTGGTATCGAACCCTGATCGAACTACCAGTGTTCAGTGACTGTTGGTGACTGTTGGTGGGCCTTCAGGAAAGTTTGAATGAATTATTTAGAAATGAAAGAAAAGTAGATTGTTATTTTATATTCCTTGAGCTAATATTTTGACATGCATCTTAATATATGCTTTGAAATTTTAAAAAGGATCTTTACCAATTTTTTCGGTTTGGATTCTTTTAATATAAGTTTATGCAAAAAGAATTTAGAAATTACAATTTTTTATTGATGAGTTTTACAAACAGTAAATAACTTTGTGGAAAATGAGATAATAATGAATGCTAGCTTTATCCCCCTGAAAATTCATACAAAACCATTTTTATGAAAATAATTTTTATAAAACAATTTTTTACAGTTTCCCTTATATTAATCTATATCAATATATTGTTAAGGAATTTACATTTAGTTAGCTATTTTTAGTAGAATTGTAATTAATATTGTTTTATATCCCCGTGCAATGCAGCACGAGACATATTTTAAAAAGAAAGCTACACCGAAAATACAGGATCACGCGCATTTAACATTTAATAAATATATATCTCATAATTTATATTTAAATTGAATAAATGCAATTGACTACTATATTAGCTGTAACCGTAAGTCTACTCTTTTGCTTTTCAGAAATCTCGAGATGAAAAGAGAAATTACCAGAACCTTCTCATGACCGAATAAAAAGCTTTAAAAAGCTGGAGAGAAACATCTCAATTCAGTTACTTACTCAGTTGTTGTTGTTTAATTAGCTGCTGTTATTTTGAGATCGGATTATTTTTTCTTTGCGCTTTGAACTGTGTTCTATTTAACGTTTTAGTAGTTTAAAATATAACTACTGTGATATTGTACGAATATTTTTGATGAAAAACCTAGCGTTTTGTTACATTTCTTGTGATAAGAATGATAAGAATAAATTTTACTAACTTTTTATTGGACTTGTGCATTCAATCTATTACAAGCCCGTACGGATGCAGCAATATGTTTCTAAGATTTGTATTTGTTTCATAAAAAGCATTGAATTAAATTCTTTTAACGTGTTTAGTATATGAATACATCATTTAGGATATAAAAGTTATCCGTAACATAAATTGGTATAGAAATTATTTTTGTAAGCCCTCTTTCTTCGCGTGTTGTTACATAACATTATGTTACCTAACACACATTTTAACTTAGTGTCTTGTACATTTATTTTGCTTTGGATCTAGCAAAACTAAAGGAGTAAAGATATAAGTGGACGCTCTAAAAGAGATGTAAAATTTATAACATTATGTTATAAAATATATTTACATTTCTTTTATACTCATGTAAAATTTCTTTATTATTTTTAAATTATTCATTTTCAGAATATTTAAATTTATTTAAATTTATGTTGCTTAGAAAATATATAGGCATAGTTATCTTAGTAAAATAACATGAAAAGTAATATGTAATAAAACTCGATGACATAAAAAATACGTAAATTGATCTTATTTATCGTGCTTAAATTTTAGTTAGTTTATAAATGTCTGACAAATAGTTTTATCTTTGCTTATAATTTTTATTTTACTTTATAAAAATAACCAATAGCAAAAGTCATTCCTTAACCAATTTAAACATTTGTACGTATACGATTATTTAAAGTTTTTCTTTAGTAACATCCTAAACTCCATATAATGATACAACTACACAAAAATCCTTTGAATTCTCTTATTTATTACGCATTTAACAAAGATCATTAAAACAACGTATAAATCAAGCAGCTTAAAAGACTTTTTAACCCCGAATTATGTTTCCAGCTTTAATGTCTTTTTAAGCTAAATAAATGATTAGGAATAAAACGCTATTACTACCAGTTTACGTTTAACAAACTATGATCATTAAATTATTAATGGGGCAGAACACATCAATGGATGACTTTTGCAGAAGACTCATTGAAAAATTCTATTTACTTACAATTAAGGAACAAAAGTAATAAAGAATAACGAAGCAATTCAGGACGATGTTAAAGTATTGATAGAAAGCAGAAATAAAAGGTTATTTTATCGCTTGTGAATAAATAAAGATATGCGTTACATTTAGAAGGCGATTTAATGTTGTATTCATTTCTTTTAAATAAATAAATTAATTAGAATTAACGAGTTTTAAAAAGTTATTAATTTCTGTAATCTGTTAAGCATTAGAAAGAACATCATTAGCACATTATTTATCCCATTTATGTGTCTTTTCCAAGAAAGAAATGGGTGACATAGGATATCTTGTATATGACGCCATTTAACTATGATTTCGATAAAATGAAAATACTCCGGCAACAGAGAAACTCCCCCGAGCCCATCATCGGAAAAAAAGTTGCCTTATTAAAATTTTTAATTACTGTCTAATATTTCTAAAAAGAGTTTATCCCTAAAAGTTTAAATTAAAACAATTACGATAAAAATAATGTTAAATAATTAAAAATACCTTAAAATACTCAGATATATATATGATAACAATAAATTCAGAAATATTGAAGTGAGAACATTGAGACTTAGAAACGCAGAAATCCTGATGGCATAGATACTTAGAACGTAGAATTGGTAATGATTAAGAAACTTGGTAGACGAACTGGTTTTAATTCCATTTTTATTTGAATTCACATTTAAAGCCACAGTTTACTTGGTAAGCTAATCATGCCTACATTCAGGACATTTACATTTTTAAATACAATTGCGATAGGAACAACAGAGCACAGCGAAATGACGTCCAATCAGCAACAGAGTGACAAGCGAAGTAAGCCTTCATCCAATATTGGCAGCTTACCAAAGAGAAAGGTTTTGGTTCACTAAGGTTTCAATTCTCAAGAGTTTAGATTCCGAATTACCTACGTTATCAGCTTTATGCAAGCTTTGTGGCATAGATTAGTATAGAAATGACGCAATTCAGAAATGTTATTATTATTTTTAGAATAAAGATGAAATAACTAAATTAAAAATGAGGAGTTAAGAGTCTTGTTGAAGAATACTTACATTCTCCGGTGAAAGTCAACGTATACCAAATACGTCGTTGAAAGACCAAATATTTGGTCATATTCTTATACATTCGGAGCATAACCGTTGCATGTCGACAAGCACAAGTATTAAGACACAATAAATAACTAAGAGAGCCTTAAAATTTCGCGTCAAGGAACATGAGGTATATGCTAGAAAAAAGGAAACACAAAAGTCTTCTGTTGCCCAACATTGCTGGTCCGAAAATCACACTTTCAATTTTCTGCTGCCAAAATTATTCAAAAAACATCTTCCATTGGAGAACTGGATTTTCTAGAGGCATTTCACATTCAAAAAAATCTTTCTGTTCTAGTTAACGATCCTAATTCCAATCCATCTTTGCCTTCGGCCTTTAAAGAAATTATGTTTTAGTTCTGAATTCATCAACAGATGGCGCCACTAGCTTATTTCTTTCCCAGGCTTCCTTATCTTATCTGATCATTATATCCTATCTCTTTCATTTGCGCTTTTGCAGCCGACGATGGTGGTTCTTTAAAACCATCGAAACTAGTCCTGTGAAAGTTTGAAAATATTACGCTGATTCTTGTTGTTTGACTTCTGAATGAGTAAGCATAAGTATGTTGCTCTGATGGAGCTCGAAACGAAAAGCGGAGAAGACAGACAGAGAGGTGTAAGCAAGGTACTCTTACACCTCTCTGTGTAAAAGCAAGGTACTCTTGACCAATTCAAAGCGTCTAAGTTGCTGCAATAAATAAGACTGTATACTGTCAATCACATAATTAAGTCTTATGTTGGGCAACAGAAGATAATTAAGTAAGTTTATTATTCGTGTTAATGTACAGTTCGCTTTAAGTTCAAAAGTTCATTTACATGTGCTGTTACTTAAGCCTTCGCCTATTTTGATATATATCTATCCTAATATGTTTTAATAATAAACAGTATGATTTGAAAACATGAATAAAAATATTTTTATTCGCCATTCACCATCACTACAACAATCACCATCAATACTGGACAATATGCATTTACAACTTTTAAAACCTGTAAAACACGTCTGCGATGGTTTGTAGGTGCTTTACGTTTTACCATGATATATTTAAATTATGAAGTTTCTGAACCGCTTTATTTTCGACAACGATATTTTGTATCACTATGTTTTAGAACTGGAAAGTTTTCTCCTTCCTTTCTTTTCCCCCATGATGCTTTGCATGATGACGTTTTCATCTTGCATTGTTTTCTTCGCGGCATTTTCGTCCACCATGTTTTCGGCTGCAACCTTCTTTGGGGTCGCACATCATAAAACTTCTGAAAGGCTACGAGCAGGAACAAGCTTAAAGCAGCACTCAACACGAACCTTTCTACTCAGATTAATGCCATTTAACAAATTACCGCGGGAAAATCCTGCAGTGACAAGACTTAGTAGCACAATCCGTAAACGCTTATGCTGGGGTTTAAAGTATTGTTCATTTAGGTTAGCATAATTCTTGAGTGCACATTCGTATCTCAGCCGAGGAGAAGCTTCAAGTACTGACCACGGGCTTTTAATTCTATCGTGGAGCTGACTTTTTTAGATCGGTTGTTTAAACTTCATTTTGCATTTGTTCCGGAGTATCCAGTGTATTTATCCGTAGTATCCAATGCGTGTTAGTTTTCTTTCAAATTCCTTTAACTGAATAGTGGATGAGCAATTAAAAACAGTGTTGGAAGGCAAAAGGTGCGTTTTAGAAGCCCTTTCCTCTATTGCGATAACCACATGCACTTACGAATTATGTTTCGGGTTAAATACTTAACAATTATGTTTTGGGGTAACTCAGTGTATTTGAAAAGAATAAACTGATCATCTGTTGAGAAAACAAATATGGCACCTGAAAATCTAACAGAATTTTATAAATATTTATTGCAAAACATACCTGAAAACTATAAATCACCGCATAATTGACTTCCACCACAGCACGATCTTTCCAAAGTGTAGATGGTGCTCTCATATCGATACCAAGCCTTGTGGCCACTTCCTGTTCATGAAAATATTATTCATTAATAAAACTAAAATACATCACTTCTTAGTTACAATGTATTTGCCTGAATTAATGAAAATCGAATGTTAAGTAATTAATAAATGCCCTGTATTTTATACACATAGAAGAAATTTCATGCTGATAGCTTTCTTAATATAACCATTTCTGAAAACGGCCACTGGTTTCCAAAAATCATAAAATGAATACCAATATTAACAGTTAACTTACAATTATCTTCACATGCACTACCTTAAATTACATATATACATCCCCTACCTGAAATCCTAGCATAAAAAATATACAGGTTTTTCATGTTTCCTTCACTTGCGGTTTTTCGTTTTGGAGGTTGGGATGCTGGTTACAGCCCTTTGTTTAACCTGGAGAGAAAACAGCCTACGCTTTTACAGTGCATTGTGACGGTAAGACTTGAAATGAGGTTTCTGGTAGTTGAGGGGAGAGGTACTATCCCCAAAACATTGATTTTGCTTCTGCTTCAGATTAAAACGGGAAGCACTTAACTATTCCCGCTAGCATCAATAGGCTGTAACTCGTCCTTGGGGTCAATGGCTTAAAAGTTAGCTTCCGGAAGTTCCTGCTTTCGGGAAAGCTGACAATGGGGCTCCAGATTGAATATAGAACCGATTAACCATGGGGCAGAAATCTGTCTTCTTTTATTGAAAACTGTGGTGGATGAGGCTGCCGGGTCCAAATCTTCATTAATTTTCAAATATGGGCATTTTAAACTTCACGAGTTCTACAGATAATATTCCAATTGAAAAAGTGAAAACATGTGTAATTACAAATGATAATTTAGAAACACTTATTTTTCTGGTTCTTAAAAACTCAACAGGCGATCTGCTAAATATGTCATCTTTTCTCATTTATAAAAGTCAAGTCTTGTGTTGGTGAACCCAAGTACGTATATCAAGCGGCTGCGGTCTGACAATCTTCTCGTTGAAACTTCTCCGTCTCAATCCGTTGCACATCTTGGATAAAAAAAAAGCTTGGGATAGTCAATATAAGTATCTCAGAGCACAAAACACTCAACTATTCCCGAGGCGTAATTTCGAGATTGATCTTCTTTTCGTATCAGAAGAAGACATTCTTTCTGAGCTATCCAACTAGAATGTTTTTACTGCGTTTATCAAGATGAGCAAAGAAGGTCAGTTGATAAATACTAAACACATAATTACTGATCTTCAGTTCGCCTAATCTGCTGAAAAGTATTAAGGCCGAGTATTTACATAGCACCGTTAGATCTTACATACCCAACCGCTTGCGATGCTTTCAGTGTCAGCGTTTCGGCCACACGAAAATGTCCTGTCGTGACAAACTCACGTATGTGCATTGCTCCGTGGAAAGCCATGACAGCGATAACTGCAGGGCCAACCCGCTATGTGTTAACTGCAAAGAGTAGCATTAAGTATTTTCTCGACTAAATGGAAAGCAGAAAAAGGCTAGTAAAATTAAACAAACGTTAAAAGTTACGAATAATGTTTCATATGTTAAAGTACCTTACAGATATAAAACATGTTACACCTGACTAATTCAAAGCGTTATTTCTGTTTCACATTATAATTATAGTCAAACCCTGAAAAATATTACTATAGACTGTCACTTTAAAATAGGTACGTCAAGGTCGTAGCAATCCTCCTCCATTTGTGACCGTAATGCTTATTGTCACCATCACGTAAAGGGAATTAGGGGATTTTAGCGAATCAGAGGGCTTGGCCTTTTTTCCGCTACAGTCGTTGATATTATTATGTGTCATGATTGGAAGAGAAGTAATGACTTTGAAATGCCCATTTTAACCTTTTCAGGGACGGTATATAAAATAATTTAAATTGTGGTAAAATTTTGCATAAACTATAACTTATGGACCCTAAGGACACAAAATTGAGACTTTAAAAAAAATCTAGAGCGAAATCCTGAATTTTGAAAACCGAGATATATTTTATACCGGTGCCCCTCTAAGACATTTTTTTCCAGGTAGTTGCCAATTATTAATTTTTGTTTTTTAAATTAGTTTTGCGTACTTTGATTTGCGTCTGTAGAGATGAATGCTTGAATGTAGTTATGTAAGTCTGAAGACAAAAGCTTTTAAAATTCGGCAGAAGTTTAAAATTTAAAAAATAAAATTTATGTTTTTATGCACTTTGATGATGCAACCCAGCTGAAATGTAAAATATGGGTAAAAAGCTTCTGAACTTGATTTAAATTCAATATTATTATTTCATAAAAAAATTAGCAAATATAACACTGCATGCGTAAATCGTATCATGTTGTAACTAAACTAGTGTAATATTACAAGCAGCCGAAAAATAAAAAAATTGAAAATTGAAACACTGCGACTCAGCTGAGAAAGTATGTTGCATACTGAGAAAGTTATATTTTATGCAAAACCATGCGTCATGCTATGATACCAAGAATCGCCCTCACCCTCCCCGCACACACACCTTAGATTATCGAGGACCGTAAGGGTCCCTTTATATATATGTAAGATAAAAATGTATGAATCAGAATTATAATATAACTATAAACATTAATTCTTCCTCTCTATTCTAAAATCGTAATAACTTATCTGCATTGCGTCATTCAAATTAATCATGCGATCTTACGTAACCGTTAATACCAGATGCCTCTTGACAACCAATCACCGAATTGTAAACCAAAACTTTTCTCCTCGCGTGCCTCCATCTTGCATAACTACGCACTTCAGCTTTTGCTCTCTACTGTGCTAAGATGTAATTTCGCTGGCTTGCTTTCTATCCCAACAATATCAAAAATGTAAATCTTCTGTGGAAAGGCACGACTAGAGTGCCAGGTGATTGTGGCCACAAATATCAACTGGAAATAAAAATGGAATTAAAACTGCCTCGACTGCCAAGTTCTTTAAATACTACGCAATCAAAATTCTTCTTCAATCTGGATCTAATCACGCATCTACAATGTTCCGTCTTTTTTTTTTTTGTGATTTTATTATGACAATTAAAGCCGGTAGGATAGTTTCCTGCAGCCTGAAACCTCAATGGAAAATTTAATTCAGCTCTTCAAATCATCGTTTTGTGATAAATCCAAGATAATGTGAAAGAAATGAATCATCAAGTTTGTTTTTTCAGTGTTTAAAAAATAACAGATCATTCTTCTGCTGTGGTGTTTTGAGAGTGCTTCAAAAAATAATCACGCGTAGTGTTTACAGATTGAAAGTAATCTCTCGATAAATTGAGAAGTTCGAATGCCTAGTGAAAAGGAAATCATCAGTGAATTACCGTTTAGGAATTCAGCATTACAGCGGGTTCAAGGTCGATCTGAGTTAGTGTTTGCAAGTATGTGAGCAAATTAAGTAACGAATTTTAAGCTATTTAAATTATTCATAGGGAAGGATATTAAGATAAGTTTTTATGTTTTTGAAATTTTGTTGAGAATTTGCTTTTATTATTACATATATATGTGTATAGGTTGTAATAAATCTTTTTGTTCAGGAAAAAACGCCGTTAAACAATTTTATTATTTAATACACCTTAAAGCTCTTATTCCCATTTTCAACCCCTTTGGCTTCCTAGGGGCTACTTTTCAACTTTTGGATAAATTTTAGTTTGCATCTAAAACGGACCTTAGAAATATTTTCCCTTCTTTCACAAACTGGGAAAATTTATTTCAGAAACAACCTATTTGTATCTTAACCCAGAGGGTTCTATTGCGTTCCCTAGTATTTCATCCGAAATTAACAAAGAATTTAAAAGAATTTTCCTAAAGAATAAAAGCCTGCTTTCAAATCAGCAGTTTTTGTGATTACACTATGAGATGGACCTTAAGTTCATTTCAGAGTGGGGTGCCTTAAGTGAGGTGAACCTTAAGTGCACACTATGGGATGGAGTAAGTGTGATTACACTATGAGATGGACTAATTTGTCATTCGGGAGTCACACCTCCCGAATGACAAATTAGTTGTCAATGACCGCTTTTTATTTTCGTTGCATTCTAGGATTTTGGAAAACACGAAGCAACGAGTATCTTTTGGGGGCTAGCATGCCCCATTAAAGCCCCACAATTGCGTAAAGTTTTGACCCCTGACGGCAGTTTTGATATCGATGAGTCTTTTTATCATAAACTGTTATAATATAAAGAAATTTTGTCATGTCACAGAGTAGAAAAGGAAAAGACTGGTGCTGCCATCTATTGGCGGGGTACCCTCAGTGTGGACGTCGGTATATATTATATACCGGTTTTAAAATCGTATAAATCACCTTCTGTCAGTTATCACCACTGATAGAAATGAAGTAAATACATAAGATTCAGCATACGTCATATATTTGCAAATGTTGAATTTTTTCTTCCCCTCCAATAGAATTTATCAATCTTCAAATCTGATACCTTGGAACGAGGTATATTAATTTCATAACTGCAAAATATTGAACATTCATAGGGTGGTGCTGCCTTTTAGAATCCAAAGGAAACACTAGAAACTTACGATTATAGCTTTTGATGTAGAAAAATTAGCATTTTTTAGGACAACCGGTATATTTTATATTGGTGCCCTTCAAAGGGTTAAAGTAAATAAACTGTAGTATTCAGAGTTTTTTTTTTTTAATCCCTAAGACATGAAAAAGACCCCGATTCACAAGTCACGCAGATTAATCATATAAAGCGCTGAAAATGTTTTTAACGTTTTATGTAAGCTTTTAATGTAAAGCTTTCAGATTTTACATTACATCCAAAGGGGCGTTTTTTTAACGTTTTTTGTGTTAGCTTTATTTATTAAATATCATGTTCTTTGCACTTAAACAATAAAATTAAATTCAACAGCAATATCTGCTATATCCCAAAATAATTTTAAAATGAGCATATATTTAGAATTTCCGATACACATTCTCGCGCGCTGGAGACAAAGTTTTTTTTTTTTTTTTTTTTTTTACCCCGTACAGTGTTGCCACTGCTCGCTTGGAAATAGTTGAGTTTGTTAATAAAAAATTCGTTGAAGTGTTACAAAACATGAAACCGATAATAAAA